TTTATTAATATATATATATATATATATATAAATATTGTGAGTAGGATATAAATTCTAACCATAAAGAAGCTTACATAATAAAAGTGCAAAAAAAAACATTTTATAGAGTAATATAAATTTGAATTAAATATTTTAATAGGAGAAAATTAAAATGTTTAAAAAAAAAAACCAAATTAAAGAAATTTTTTACATCAACAGTAGGCAGGCCGCATGTGGCCCGCAGGTGATAGGTTATGCACCCCTAGTCTATACTATATTATAAATTTAAATTTGTAGGATAATGTTTTCATGCGCATGTTCCTAGTAATATAGCGTATAATGTAAAAGTAAAAATTCAAAAATTTTGCTGAAACTTATCATTATTTTAACTACTTACTTATCCTCTACGTGCCTTGGGCACTTAAGGCCTCCAGCATATCCCTCCGACGCCCCCTGTCTTTAGCAATAGATCTTGCTTCCTCCCAGCCAGATATTCCACATTCTTTTAATTCGCCCAAAAACATGCGCTGGATGGTAAGTCTGGGTCTTCCTCTTGTTCTCTTACCATCAGGGGCCCATGTAAGCGCAACAGATGAAATTTTTTCTTTGGGCATTCTAAGGATATGTCCGAGCCAGCTCCATCTTCGTTTTTTAATTTCATCTTCGATTGTTTTTATTTTAGCTTTCTTTAATAGATTTACTTAACTTAACTACTTACTTAATTATTTAATTAAGTTTTCATTCAAGTATAAATTGTAGTTATCCTTCTTGTTTCAGAAGAGTAAATGGCAAGTGGTCTTTATACTTTATCAACAAACCTTTCTAAAAATATATGTCAATGTCTAAAACATTCCATACCTAACACACATCCTCCCAAGACAAAATGGCGAACCATCACCAGCCTGTCGTTCAACTCTGGATTCGTAGATGAAACCTACTCAGAAGTTAAAAAGTGTGATAATGCTACCAGACCATTGGACTTATATGCTTTGAAACAAAAAGAAAAGGAAGACTGGAGGAATTTATCATTACAAGAAAAGCAAGCATGTAATAATATTTTTGCGATTTTATTACTAGTTATTTCAAATTATATGTTTGTATTTTTTATTTTTATTTTATTTGTAATTTTTTTTCATAGATAATTATTATGGATTATGTTTATAAATTCTTTATATGAAATCTAATTATTATATGTCTGTTGATTTGATAATTTTGAGTTTTTACATTTTCACACTACTTCCAAATTGTTTTAAAGAATTTTATGTAGGTGCATAAGTTTAAGACTAAATATTGTCTTTCTCTATAGAGAAACTTAATCTACATTAAATTTGTTTATATTTTAGGTACTTTTTTCTAATTTAAAGGCAGTATGACATTAAAGTATTTTTTGTACACATATATATTCTGATAATTAAAAAGCATTTTTGCTTTATCTTTTTAAGAAGGTGGGGAAAACACAGGATCCTTGAACGATACAAATAATTGGACAATCAGGTAAATCGATGTTTGGATAATTGGGCTCTACTGTAGTGCATACTACTCTGAAAATAACTTAGCATGATTTTTTGTTTTAAAAAAAAGGTACTGGTGGAGCCAGAACAAATAATTCAAATTAAATGCTGCTTTTTATATATGCTAATGTTTGCTTTAAAAAAAAAATTAGGTTATCCAAAATAGCTTAATGATCAAAAAAAAATCTAGTTTTTAATTTTTAAACTTTTAACATATTTTGCTTCCATTTATTTATATCTGTCCTATTTTTTACTTTATTTTAGGTGTCTCATCTAGCTGGATGATTTCATAATGTCATTGATTAAAACTCTTTAAAATTTTTTTAAAAAAAAATCAATTTAAAAATTTGAATTTTTTTCCAATATATTTTAAAAAGCATTTTATTTATTTATTAAATTCTAAACCTTTGATTGTCCTTTTTTACATTTTAATCTTTTAATTTTATGTTTTGTTTTTTAGGTATTACATCTAGAAAGATGCTGGTTTTATTTATTATTTCTTTTAATTAGTATTTCTGTAAATTTCTCTTATTCTTGTTCTGTTTGTTTTTTATATGCTTTCAGAAACATGCCTATATTCGAAGCGGCGGTCTCTTTACGTTATCACGCTGGATCGCAATCACGGTAGGCTTTAGCCATTGGCAGCTGTTTGTGTTCTAACAAAAATTTTAAGCCAGTTGCCCATTAGCTTTTTTTCCTTCTCAAACTTGCTTGTAAATTATTTTAATTTGAACTTTATCCTTATCATTACAAATGTATTCAACCAAGTTTTTGTCTCTGTTACAGTGTATCATATGAGTTTTAGCCAGCCATTATGCCTTGCTGAACAACCATCAGATGAGTGGAAGCTTATTTTGGCGGGAACTTTTACAGCTATGGGACTTATGACTTTAGGACTTTATATGTGGCTCTCAAGATTTGGTAAGTTTTTAATTTGAAATCTGTACCCCATGGTGCTTAGTGTTTTTAAAAAGTACTTAAATTTCCCTGAGAGATTTTTTCTGAATGAGATTTCTTTCAAAATGAGATTTTTTTTCTTTACCATGTCGATTTTCGCCTCATATTATGCAAAAGCCTGGTTTTCATGTTTTATTCAACGTTTTCACAATACGTTTCGGCCTACCATCATTCCGTATCATATGAAGGCAGCAATCATTTTGCATGTTTGATTAAATTAAATATTTGCGGGTCCACATGTGCGTCTACTGACCTGAATTCGGTGAGATTGTTGAACTCTCGTATGCAACTCTGCTGTATTTTGCAAGCAGGACTTTGTCTAGGTTTTTCTAAGAGGTGACTATTTTGTTAAAATTTAGACATAATTTTTGAAAATTAAAAATTATTTTAAAAAATCAACACAAAAATATGGATTTATCATTTCTTATGGGACACAAAAATAAAATTATAATAAAAAGTATTTTGTGAAACTACCGTTTTTCCTAAAGTTGAATTTGTGAAGGTACCGCTAAACAGTAGTCAATTTAGCCGGGACAGACCTCTGGCAAGATATTCTCAATTTCGGGCTTCATTTTCCACCCTCTGATATGGAACGAAAAATCTCTTGAACATTTTATAATAGCTAATATAATCAGGAAAAAGAGTTCTTTGTCAGAAACTAGTTATTTTATCATGTTCATGTCAAGTGTTTGAAAAAATTGTGTTTTGTCAATGTACATGGTACTTAAAAACATTTTTTGAGTGCTTAAAAGGTACTTATTTTATCAAGCTAAAAATAAGCACATACTTCTTCGAAAGCTAATCATTGAGTGCACAGTAGACCACGTGTGGATTAGAGATAACCTTGGGTTGGTTACAGTTAAGAAAATGATAATCAATATTTTAAAAAAGAAATAGTAGTTAAATGAGTAAAAATGCAAAAAGCTAAATAAATTCATTTAATACGTTGCAAAAAGTTTAAAAGAAAAATAATAACTAAACTAAACTAATTTGTTTGAATTTGGAAATGTTTGCTTTCGTGTGACCTAGCAACAACACAGAAGAATTTTAATTAGATATTGTAACATTGCTAAGTTCAACTTAAAAACAACCATTTTTCCAATAATCACTCAATTTTTGGCAAATAAAATTAAAACAATAAAATCTTGTATTTTATTTTTAAAGACATTGTTTTGATAATCCAGATTATTGAAATGAAATTATTATCATAATTCCAATTTGGTTGTGATTCTAAACTATTAATGAGCTAGATTCAATGAACTAAACTAGTTAGAAGTAATTTCAGCTTTAATATTTAAGTTTAGTGTAAAAAAAAAAATTGAGGTGAAAAATTTTTTAAAAGTAATTTACAACAAGTATAATAAAAATAGAAGCATTAGAAATGTCTTATCACCAATGAAGTTTGTCTTAATGTGCATTTTTTATTACTAGAATTCTAAAACTTCCAGGCAGAGTCAAATTTGAAATAATATTTTATCTAGCTAATAAAAGTTATTAAAAAAATTAATTCAATAAGTCCCTAAACTACAGTACTATCCATATTCTACAATAAATATAAAAATATCTCTGAAACATCCTAGAAATATTTTCATTGTCTTAAAGATGAGTAACTGTAAATTCAGAGTCATATAGCTGAGTCAATGACTGGCTGAAAACTGGTTAGAACTTGTTTTCTGATAATAAAAAACTCTGATTAATAACTGATAGGATATCAGTTGTTAATCACTGGTGTGATTAATAACTGAATTTATTGTGATATCAGCCTGATTCTGTATTTGTAATCAGAAACCAAATATTTTATTTATTTAGCAAGAGTAATAATTTCAATTTGTTATGAAAGATAAAAATTAGCAATCTAAATTTTTTAATCAAATTTTTTTTAATGTCATAATTTGACATTATAGTTTAAAGATCTCTTGTTTTTAACACCTAAAAGAATAATTGATATTAGTTTTTATCTTTAATGGTATTTTAAAGATTTTATCTTAAAGTTACATTTTATCTTGAACTTACTTTTTCTTTAGGAATGGTTATTCTTAAAGTTTCTCTAATAAATAAAAAAATTTATTATTTCTTATGCCTTTTAAACAAATATTAAATTTGTTATGGGTTAGATTATGAATGATATAATTTATTATGTAAGTTGTTTGATAATTATAAATTTATATTTTTAGTGCTGTTTGTTTTACTTTTTTCTTAAAATTGTCTAATAATTCTTTTAGTTAAAATTACTCTTACTTTTTTATCTCAAATAGATTATTCTTTTGGAGAGAGGGAGCAAACATTATTTTGTTTCTAAACAATAAAAATCTTTTTTATTTTATTTTCACACGGTTTTAATAAAAAAAAATTTAGCAACATTAATGCATTGGGTTTTAGTTGTTTATTGCGTTTTTGTTAACTTCATATTCAGATTTTTTTTTAAATATTGCTCTGTAAATTTCCTAAGTCTCATTTTCCCTTCCAGCCATGTTTATAGTTCTGACAATTTATTATTTCTAATCAGAGTTCGCATGATTAAAATGACTTGATTATTTCAAATGGAAAATAATTTATTAACTCTTTATTAAAGGCGTGATTTTATTTCTAGTTATTATTTACATAAAGATTCTGGAATTTTACCTAAATCTATCTGGAAAAGTCAGGGAAAGTTTTTTTTCACAGACTCTCCTCGACTCTGAAAATCTCCTTTGGCTCTTTTGTCCATTAAGGACCTAGGCCTTCTTTACCACACAACACGTTAATATGTGATTAAATAATGATTTAGTAGACGGTGTAAAGTTGAATTTATATTAGCTAAAAAAGAACTGTGGCTTCTTGTAATAACAGAACTGACTGAAGTGCCTTATGGACCAGGATTTTGTTACTGAAGGACCTAGGATTTTGTTATTGAAGAATTTTTTGAACGAAATTTATTCTAAGACTTCAGTCCAAATTTGGATTTTTTGATTTTTTTAATTCATCTGTTTTTTATCTCCAAGTTATAAATTATTTTTATTATTATTAAAAATTGGACTATAATTTTATATATTCATTGTTAATTTAGATTTTTATCGATAATTTTTATTTATTTTGGTTAGAGCGCACTGAAAATGTGATTGGTCCTCTTTCTCCGAAATCCAAGGAAGAAATGAGTTGTACATGTCCTGACCAAGAAATCTCAAAATCTTCGTGAAGCAGCCAAGTGTACAATTATTGTTTTAGTAAGGTGTAGTTATTGTTCTATTGTAAAATATTGCCCACTGCATCGTTCATGGAATTAAATTTTTCTTTTAAATATATTTCAGTATTGTTTCTTTGTGTCTATTTATTTTTTTAATCGAAATATTTTTGTTGGAAGTCTGCATTTGTGCAACATTTTTATTCTAATTTTAGGTAACTAAGTATGAAATAGAAATTTGTAACTTAGTTATGAGCACCAATTAGTGTATTTGAGGTCTCTACTCATAGAATTGGTTTTTAAAATGCATAGAAATTTGATCATTAGAGCAACAGTGATTCAGGATATGATTTGCATTTAATTATTTATTTGCTCATTCTACATGATTAGTTGGGTGCAAATCAAAATTTAATCTCTGACTCATAAATTTCTACAGTAGCTTGAGTAATTTCAATCATAATTTAATGTTTATACCCTAAAAAATTATTGATTTGAGGAAATTTCATGATTATTCCATGGTTAAAATTTTTTAATTTATCCACTGTCCGGGTTCTGAGGATATTGGATAATCAGGATTCTACAGACCTTAGAATAATTTTACTAAAATGAGAATAAAATAGTATATGCATTGGGGGACTCAAATTAATTTAAGAGAATATTTTTTTTCTAAACCTGTTTGATTGTGAAATGAAACAAGTGTGTTGATAAATAATTACTAACATATACAAGTTTTAACCAACAATTGGTGATTCTATGATGTGTCTCTTCTCTATTTAAATATTAATTTACTGCCCCTCCCCTGTGTATGTTTATTTTTCTTCATTTTAGATTAGATGGAAACATGTATATTCAATGAAATCTTCATATTGAGAAAAAAATCTGAATCTCCTACACGTTTGCTTTGTTGATAATAGAAAGAAAAAGAAAACCTCCTTCAACCGAATACATTTGTTGCCTCTCTGTTTCACAAAATATTTTTTGTTCCAAAAAAATATGTTTTCTGAAGAATTTAAATTATTTTTTAAACGTAATTAGAAATTTAAAACCCTGTGTGGAAATAAGTTACTTGAATCAAACATTTCAGAAGTAATTTGCAAGATGTATGTTTTGATAAGATTATATTTACTTATAAAATAGGAGAAAAAAAACTTCATTTTATTGATCCAAAAGAAACGCAATTATGTGGAAGATTGGGAAGAATTTGAAGTGACAAAAGTGATTAAGACATCTGGAAATACATTAGAAAAGGAAGACTAAACAGAAAAATTTCAGCAAAATGTAAAATCACATTAAGGGTGTTCATTAGAGAACACCTTCTATACATAGAATGCATTTGGTAAAAGTTTTAATGAAATTACTTATTGGGATGTAAGTTAGTATACTTTTATAGAACCTATATTAAAGTTTGGCTATATTTCAGTTGACAGTATCAACAGTTAAGTTTGAGGATACAAGTCTGCATTGAAAGGGCAATAACTTTTCTGTCTTCTTTATCTTACTGTAACAATATTTATAAAAGAAAAAGAATTTCTTTGGTTTAATTGAAATGTTTATCACCTATTTAGTCAGTTTAAAGAAAAACGTGAAAGGTTTGAGGCAATTTTATCATTGACTCTTTTTCCGGAAGTAATATTTTTCATTAAACTATTTCTTAATATAATTTTGACATGGGTATTTTAAAAGTTAGTTTATTTTCCATTACATGATAAAACATGCCAAAGATTTTAAATCTTACATAAAAGTCACATTTTTGCCAATTGTTGAAGTTTCTTGAACAATTTGAAAATGTGACTCTATTATTATATCACCTAATACCCTTCATAATGTCAGCAGGGTATATTTATTATTTTATCTAACTTTAGTAATCTAAGATTTTTTCCTTCCCAAAGGTTTATTCCTTCCATTTAAAATTTAAAAAAAAAAATATTATTATTATTACTAAAGTGCTGACTGGACTGTTTAGGGGTCAAGGTATTGACCCTGCATCAGAAAGATTCTGGGTTCTAATCCCGGGCAAGGCATAGATGTTCTTTCATCCTTTGTACTCTCTGTCCTTACTGTGTGTAACAGCAACGTTGGCCCACCTAATATGGTGCTTCTGAAAGAGTGGCTAACAAAATCTGCCTTGTAAATAGAGAAAAACAATAAAGCCCAGGCTTAAAAGGGGTTATTTTGGGTTTTATTATCAATTTTCAAAATCTGCCCTTTCTTTAAATGAATCGTTATTTCTTATTTGACTTTTAATATACATATCCCTACTTTAATATAACAGATAACTTTAAAACTGAGAATTCGAAAACTAACTCCATACAGATTGTTCATGTAGGAATTAATGTAAATCTCATATGTATTAATTCAGGAATTTTCTAAGTAAAATTAGTTACATGTATTTATATAGGCACAGCTTGAAAGAAATTACTATAGGGACACAATTTTTTTTATTTAGGTGAAATAAATCATGCAATTAATTAGACCATGCAGAATATGATAATGATTTTATAGATGTGTACTTAGAATATTTCTACCACTTTTTAATATTTCTGTATGTATAGTGCAATTGCTCTTCCAAGTCTGTTTCATATTTCTAAAGATTTGATAGTCAAATAAAAAAGTATTGAATACATTCTATTGAAGCATGTCATACATGACATTTAATATTAATTAGCAATGAAAGACAATATTTCCTGTGAAACGGAAATTATTAATCCATAATGAGAATAAACATAGTCTCTCAAATTTTACCTAAAAATTTATACGTGAAACAAATTAGAATGTTTTGTTGGCTGCTATTAAATAAATAAAAAAACAATGCTAATGAATTTTTGACAGTAGGGAAAAGTACCTTTAAAATTTAATTAAAATAAAAGTTTAATAATTAAAACTGTCAAATGATATAAAAATTATCTAAAATTTTTACTTTTGAGTGAACAATATCTTCTGGATGTTTAAGAAGGAAATAACTTAAAAGAGGAGAATCATGAAAGGAAAATTGCTGAGTTTTGGGGGGAAAAATTGAAAGGTCACGTGCCCACTCGATGCTACGCCTATGTGTGTGAATATATATATAATAGATTTTAGTACAAATCAAGTAACTGTAATGAATATTGAACTAAAGTGAATGAACAGTAGTTTTATTATGAGTTTGCCTGAAATAGATTTGTTGATTATATTTTAACTTGGAAATAGATCTAAAGATTTAAAACTTAAAGGGCAAAATAAAAAATATTTTTTAAATTTCATAAACATTAGGAAACCACCTAATAAAGACAATATGTTTCTCTGACCTCAATAATATATTATTTTATCTTTAATTACAGAAGGAATTTTAATTAGGAACTTTTTATTAATATTCACAGAAAAAAAAATGGTACTACATTGAAGTTTTTATTTTAATGATTGAATTTGTTATTTTGCTATCAAAGTTTTCTTTCGAACTGAAATTGTACTTTGAAATCAGAATTTTAACTCAAAAAGTGTTTTTCTAAGTAAAAACTTTTTTTTAAAAAAAAAGCTCATATTTTTTAAAACCCTGTTTGAAGGATACTGTTAATCGTTCTGTAATTTGATCAGTAAGAAAATAGATCTTATTTCGACCAAAATATTCCTACTTTTCTTCCTTCATTTCACAATTTTTCTTGAGGTACATCAACTTCAAATAATAACAGGATGGCCTTGCCCCTGACACTTTACATTTTAGCGTTTCTTTTGAGGACTATGTTTCATAAACAAAGAAGTTCTGCCCATACAGAATGTAACTCAATCGGAATAAAATCGAATTTTGATATACGTCAAAAGTTAGCTATTGCAATGTCACTTTATTTCAAGCCATAAAGAAAGGATGTTTATAATTCATTGCCAAGATAACAAAGGATAGGAAGAAGAAGAAAAAAAAGACTTGAAATAAGAAAGTGAAATTCCAATTCATTGAAGATTTAGAACTTAGATTTTTTTTTTGTCTACATTAATATCATACGCGAAACACTAAGGTGGACTGTGGCTAACATGAACGTTGCTGGTGGGGGAGGGGGTGGATATGCGCTCCCTTCAATATTTCATGCAGCTCGGGAAAATTTTCGTGACTCATCATCCATTTAAATTCATCTAAGTTAAGAAGAAATTTATTTATCATTTTGCTGACATAAGAACATTTTTTTTCTTTTGAGTAAGATTTAAAGAACTTTTGTGACTGCATATGTTTAGTCCCCCTCTAAAGTTGATCTCATGTAACACATTTGATGGCTTATAGGGCAAAAATAACAGTTAGATCACAAAGCGATTAAATTTATCAAATAGCGTTTAAAAAAAATTGTCTGCCAGTCGCCACCAAATCACCATTTTTAGGTCAAAAATGCACTTAGTGTACATTTCATTTTATTAAATTTTACAATGAATGTTTATAATGTTCTGAAAAATATTTTATTTCACGTTTGCTTATAATTAATCTTCCTTTCTAGAAATTAACTTCGTAATGTTTACCATATTTTAAGAAGCTTTTAAGTCGCCACCTGTATCAAGGAAAATGCACTTCGTTCCTATTTCATTTTTTTTTAATAAACTTGCAATTATCATGAATATTTATGAAATTCTGAAAATTACATTATTTTGCGCCTGCTTCTAATTAATCTGCATTTTCGGAAATGAACCTTCTAATGTTGAACATATTTTGAGAAGTTTTAAAGTCGCCACTTTTTTGGCGAAAATGCACTTCGTTCCCATTTTATTTATAAATTTGTAATTATCATGAATATTTATAATATTCTGAAAATTACCTTACTTCACGCTTGCTTCTAATTAATCTTCTATTTAGAAATAAACTTTGCAATGTTTACCATATTTTAAGAAGATTTAAAAGAAATGCCTTACATTATAAATATCAACAGCGTTTTAAACTTTTTGAAAAAGTGACGATTTGTATTAAAAGTATACGGCATTTCTCAAAATATAGTTAAGATTACAAAGTTCTTTTATGTAATGTAGAAAACTTTTGAGAAACAAGTGAGAAGAAAAACTTTTCAGAATACAATATATTTTTAATAATTCCGCTTTTATTAATTAAAAAAAACATAATGAAACGCAGAGGATAAATATTTTTAAATGGCCATATAGCAATTCTCCAAACTTGTACGCATAATCGAAAGAGTATTTTCAGAAAATGTTTTTAAAAAAATTAAGTTTTTTTTTTTAACACAACTCGCTAAATTCTGTTTCAAATATAAAATATAAGTCTGGGAGATTTTTTATGAAATTTAAAAAAATTTTGTGACCTACGATGCATTTAAATCTGGTTTTTGAAAGAAAGATAGGCGTAATATTCTACAAAATTGCGCAAATATGCAAAGAAGTTTTTCCAAAAAAACTTTTTTCAAAATGTAATCCTGCGTCAAATGTAAAACATTATTCGACGGATGATTTTGGAATTTCTTTTTAAAATTCTTGGCGACGTGAGGGTACGTTTGAATTTGGTTCTATCAAAAAAAATAATAATGCATAGCATTCTTTAAAATTGCACATATATGCCAAAGAGTATTTTCAGAAATATTTTTTGAAACATTTAATTTTTTCAAAAAGTACTCACAAAGTCCTGCGCCAAGGAATTGATACTGATAAAATATCCACTGAGTTATATAACTCAGTGGATATTTCAGAAATTTTTTTAAAATTCTTTGTGACATGGGATACCTGTGAATTTGGCTTCATAAGAAAGATGGAGCATAGTATTCTCAAAAAATTGGCCACTGAAGAATATTTTCAGATTTTTTTTTTTATATTTAATTTTTTCCAAAACTTTTCTCTAAATCCTGCGTCATTTGGTGAATATTTCAGGAATTTTTTGCGACCTACGATACATTTAAATCTTGTTCAATAAAACGATATGGCATAACATTCCAAAAAATTGCCCATAGATGTCAAGGGATATTTTTGGAATTTTTTTGAAAAAAAACTTAGTTTTCACCAAAAGGACTCAAAAAATTCTGTGTTAAATATAAAATATTCAGTGGATATTTTATGAAATTTTTTAGAAAAAAAATTTGCTATCTTCGATACTTTTGAATTTAGTTTCACAAGAAAGATGGTGCAAAAAATCGGCCCAAGCATGCAAAAAGGAAAAAAAATTCATGTTAAAGATTCATGTTCTCAAATTCAAAATTCATGCAAAAAGAAAAAAAATTAGTGCAATTCATGCCAAGGAAAATTTAAAAAAAAAATTTTAACTTTATCCAAAAACACGCAAAATCCTGTGTCAGATACAAAATATCATAATTTATGAATTTAGAGAGCTATGAATTAATGGCTCAAGGGATAGAGCGCTAACCTCTAAATGAGGTAACCCGGGTTCGAATCTCAACGATGGCTATTCGATACAAATTCCGCACCTGGCTTGTAGCGACCACTGTGCTGATGTAAAATATCCACAGCGGTGAACGGATCACGGGTTACCGTAGGAGGTTTTCGTGGTTTTGAAACACAAATGCGAATTAGCTCCATCAAAAAGTCCTCAACGAAGGCAAATTTCTTCCAATACTTGATACAGGAGTTCCATTGTGCTCAGAATTGGGTTCAAAATTACAATTCGGAACTACGGAGTTGAAAATCGGTAGCCGTGAACTCAAAATTGGTTCGGTTGTTCAACGACTATTTAATATTATTATTGTAATATTTAAGAATTATTATATTATTGTAATATATATCTGTATAATTTTTTGCATCATGTGACTTATTTAAATCAGGTGTCATATGAAATGGGCATCATATATTGTCCAATAAAAATCAATGTCTATAAATATTAACTCTTAGCGCGGCTGATGCAATAGAACCGGAACTCCAGAAGAATAGAAAGAATGGAAATACCCACATATTTCAGGAGATAAAAACTACAAGTATTACAATTTCAATGATTTATATTAATGTCAAATGTAAACGTCTGAAAATGCAAAATCTTGCGTCAACTGGAAAATATGTGACAGATAATTTGCGAACTTTTTATAATTTACGTATCGTACTTTTCATATTTTTTTTATTTGAAACTAGTTTTATATAAAAAGTACGGTATGTCATATTTTCAAAACTATATCAACATACGTTTAGGGTTATTCATAAAAAAATATTTAAAAAAAAACTGCCAAATCAAATGGATTTTTTTTTGTTCGTGGGATCAAACGATTAAAGAACTACAATTCAATTCCAAGCTGCTTCCCTATATGGAAATTGAACCATTCCATATTTTCTGCGTGTGGAGGTGATGCATGTCGGTAACAGATACAGCAGGTAGAATTTGGGAATCGGAAATGAAATATTACCATAGATAGAGCAACAGAAATTTAAAAGCTTTTCAATGCTTCGATTTAGTCACACTATGTATTAATTTGTATTGTAAATAACTATATTTATTCCAGTGGCGTACGCAGAATTTTTTCAAGGGGGGTGTTCATAATTTTCTGGAACTACTAAAAGAAATTCGAGTATGCAATAAAGCACTATTATTTCCCTAATTAAGACAGCTAGACAATTTTGACTTTTTATTTAGACAGCATTGTTTAGTTGAATTTTGATTTGATTTTTTAAATTTAATAACATAATGTAATATCTTCTGAAAAAAAGACATATGGGTGGGAAGTAACACTTTGAGGGCCACTTCCACATTCATCAGATTTTGTTATGCTAGATGCTAGAAACGTTTTCTTCAACGGAAGTATNTATTCGAGTGTTGCGATCGCGAATGGAAATTGAACCATACCATAATTTTTGCGTGTGGAGGTGATGCACGTCGGTAACAGATACAGCAGATAGAATTTGAGAATCGGAAATGAAGTATTACCTTAGGGCAACAGAAATTTAAAAGCTTTTCAATGCTTCGATTTAGTCACATTATGTATTAATTTGTATTTTAAATAATTATATTTATTCATTTTTCGCCCGTAATTGGGTTAAATTTTTTCCTTGCAGTGAGAGTAATGGCAGAGTAAGAAATACCGGAGGAGTATACACTAGGTAATGGCGATTTGCGTTTAAAAAAAAAAACATGAGAGATCAAAATACTAAAAATAAACATTTGTGATGGCAAAACCTTTCTAAACCTGTAAAAAGAAAGGTAACATTCAACTGTCGGTACGGAGACAGCTTGGAATTAAAAGACTAGCGCTGCACGCTTCGCTGCTTTGTAATCTTGCGTCCGGTTCGCTGTAAACTGACTTCATTCGGAAAAATGAATGTCATATTTTTCAGAACTGTCCTTTTATGTATCACATATTTATATCCAGTATTTAAAAAAAAAATAATCACCACATATATCTGCAATTTTTTAGGTTTCCATTTTTTTTTTTTTTACTTGAAGGTGTCTTCAACTCTTTCTTCTTTCAAATCCTCTTTTTTCAATAAATTTAAATTTCTTTTGTAGTCTTTTACAAAGCAGTTTTTTTTCTCGTCTTAAATTAACGACTCTCATTGTATATACCTTTTTCCTTTACACTTAGATAAGAATTCTAAAAATGCATAAAGAGCGATCTTAGTAAAACAACCAGTGTATATAAAAAAATATTTGTGGAATATTTTCAAAAAATTTAATTTTGCTCAATACGCCTTTATGAAATGGAAAATTTCGTTTCTTCTTTAATTTTGTTTATTTGCTGTTCAGAATTTGTTTGAAACGAGTAATGTATATACATACGCAACGCTCGAATACACCATCTGAGGAGAAGACTGGTTCCATATCTTGATCCACCCCCTTCCTTCTTTTAGCAATTTCGATATTTTCACCTTTCTTATTATTTTTCGTATTTAGTTGTCAAAAATATTTTTTAAAATTTTCACGTTTTCAGTTCCATATGAATTCCTAACTTAGACTTTTTTAATTTATTTGAAAATCAACACAGACACTACTTTCAACAGTACTTTTACTCCTATGACTCTCCACACGCTAATGGTGAAAGCATGCGAAGTGCCGCCATAGGTAAAGAATTCTGCTCCACGCCATCTGTCATTTTGATCACCAGTATTCTTTTCTCTCAACGGTGATTGGCTGTGCGTGAACAGCCTCGCCTCAAGTCATTACAACTTTGTAAGCTACAAGCCAATAAAAATTATTGCATAAAGTTTAATAAGGATTACATGACCTTACGTGAATATTTATTTTCTTTAAACTGATTTTTGGTCTCAAGACATTCATTTTAGCATTTTTAATCGCTTAAATATTCTGTATAGAAGCATTGCTTCGTTTATGCATTGGAAATTTTAGATACAATTTTTTGAATCTTTAGATATAATGAACGAAATTATTTCTTTCATTTAACATGTATATTTAAAATTAGTTTCGGAATTCTGAATATTCCTTAATAAGTCTCAAATTTTAAATATAAGTTAATTTTAAGGTTTTTTACGCAAATAATCACGCATGACTACTCTAAGTGGTACTGATTCAGTTTTTATTGAACGATTTTTAAGTGCTTTTAAAACCATTGGAGGAAATGATCTTGGTTTTATCGATTACAATGTATTTAAAAACCTTTTGAACAAGGTATTTATTAAATTGATGTCTTCGTTATAATAATATGTTATCCAATATTCGATTATAATTTGTTTTCTTCCTTTGTTATATTCTCTTTCTTTTTTTTTCTTTCTTAGATAAGTGGTGCTGACGGAAATGCTATTTTGAATTTAATTGCTGACGAACAACATGTCCGTGAGGGACAGCTAGATTTCATCAGTTTATGCTTTTCAATTTTGACTTTCAAAACTGTTTTTAATTCATTTTCGTCTGAGAACGGAAAAGTTCAACTTGTAAATTCTGGAGTCAATACTCAAACCTACGTTAAAAATAAAGGTAATAAAAAGTATGAGGAAGATTTCCATATCGGTTCCTATGCCAATAAATTTCCAAATTTTTGAGACAGTTGGGCAGACACTTAAAAAAAAAAAGTAGTAAAATAGAATTTAAAAATAACCTAAAATAACAAGGAAAATGTAATGAATTTTGATTTTTTCTTTACAAACTGGGAAAATACAGGGAATTTTGTTTCTTATTTTTGTCTTTTAAAGAATGGTGACCACTCAAAGCGTAATCTATGGAATATTTAACCATGATATTTCAGCTATACTAAACTATATTTAGTTTACTATAGCATTATTTAAGTATGTAACTCTGTTTTTCGAGCAATTGTAACTAATAAATATAGTTAACCCAATGTAGCTCACACAGTAGCTGTTGTTTCGTCTTAATATATTGTGTATAATATGTACAGGGAAATCACGGGAAATTTTTTCCAGATTTGAGTGGAAACCCTGTAAAAAGGGATTGCTTTGTAGGATATAATTTGAAACCTGTGCCAGACTAACTATTAAGCATGGACATAGGGCACCACAAAGCTCCAATAAAAAAAAAATTTCTTGAAATATTTTTTACACATTTGAATTCGATTAAAAGCTCTTACACAAGATCCTAATTTAAACAAAACTTTTATTTTATTTTATTTATTTCAATCCCACTAAATTGTAAGAAAGTTGTGTATCCAATCTTAAAATGACTAGTGCTTTTACCTAACAGACCACCTCCATAGTAGATGGCATATATAAAATGCCAGGGGATAGCTGAGGCCTGAAATACATCACTAAAGCTGGGAAGAAGCTTTGTGTAAACAAGTATAACAAATTTTACTTACCCTGTAAATAGTTTTATTAGTCTATATAATTTAGAGTCTATATAATTTAGTCTATATAATTTAGAGTAATAAGAGCTCACAAAAACTAATAATAAAGGAAATGATTATACTGTCGTCTTTGCTTTCTACTCTGACTTCAAGTGATACTGAAATCAGGACTGCGAATTTCCCAGGTTATTTTAGTCTAAAATAGAGTGAAAATAATAAAGTTAAGTCTAACTAAAGTAGAGTTAAGTCTAAAATGATGAAAAAACTTGGTATACCATAAAGATATATCTTATTTTATATTTTTTAATGTAGGATATACTCTTATTTAATAAAGATAAAAACAAGAATTGGAAAAATGATATTGATGTAGCAGGTAAGATACCACTATAATTAGTTCTTAGACAGTGCCAAAAAAATTTATTTTTAGAGTTGTGGTCGCTCAGAAAATAGAGCTTTTGCCTCCTAATGATTGACCCAGGTTCGAATCTCAGCAATGACTGGTCAATGTGAATTCTGCAAGCTACTCACACTGACCACAGTGCTGAGGTAAAAATATCCTCAGTGGTTGTGGATTAGAGTCCTCTTGTTACTGTGCCGACAGTGGAGGTTTTCATGGTTTTCCTCTTCATGCAACATTTGCATTTTTTTTAGTTATAGTAAAAAATTTTCAGTGCATGACATTCACGCCTTCATGTTTATTATACAGGTCTGTTCTCTGATTTGTTTACATAATTCTATTAGATTTTTTTATTTAATGAAAAATTACAATATGAAGTATATATGTGAGCCGTGATGGCTCACAGGATAGAGCGTTTGCTTTCCAAAGAGGTGAACCGGGTTCGAATCCCAGCGATGGCTGAATGATGCAAATTCTGCATCTGGCTTGCACTAACCGCACTGCTTACGTAAAATATCATTAGTGAGAGATCACCTTGCCGTCAGACTAATCGTGAGAGGTTTTTGTGGTTTTCCTCTCCATGTAACGCAAATTCTGGTTTGTTCCATCAAAAAAGTTCTTCATGAAAGCTAGTTTGTCTCAATGCTTGATCGAGGAGTTCCCTTGTCTTCTAGGTTGGGTTCAAAATTACAAGGCTATGGAATTGAACATTGATAGTCGTAAACTGAGAATTCAGTCAGCTGTACTGAGTCGGTTAGAATATAGAAATAAAATTGGTTGATTTCAAAATAAATAGAATTTGTTCATTTAATTTAAAATTTTTAATTCCGTTATACTAAAAAACGGAATGAGAGCACAATTGCACAAAAGAGTAAATAAGCAAGAGTATTATATACAATCCAAATTTATTGCAATGAACGAAACACAACTGAAAAACTACAAAGGATATTCAGTGGCACCAACCTAAAAAAGCTAACTAAAGCAATGAATGACCTTCTGCATGAATAATTAAAAAAAGAAAAAAAATATTTTGAATTTTTTTTTTATAAATCTTTCATTACTCTAGGAAATATCTTCACTTTTTTGCTAGTCAGTGAAGAAGAAGAAGTTAAGGTTGTATTAATGATTCTGGTTTATTAGTAATTAGTATGTTTATTTGTGATTGGATATTTTTCTTGAATATATCTGTTATAGTGACGTTTTTGCAACCAAAAATCTTACATGGCCCTATTATTCTCTTGTTTTAACTAGAAGGATGAACAGTGATTGTTTACTTGGAAAACTAATATATTCTAAATTTAATTGCATCATAATTTAGACTACATTGATGAATAGTGATTGTTTACTTTGAAAACTAATATATTCTGAATTTAATTATATCATAAATTAATGCAATAAATTTTATTTCCAGGCACAAGTAATCATGGTAATATTCATTCAACTAATGTAGCTGGTTTAAATGCGGAGGTAATATTTTGAGAAATATTTCAATATTTAATAGCAGTTACGTATTTAAAAAAAAAATTGCTATCATATTAATATGTATATTTTAATTTATAAATGTAGTATATATTTAATTAACAACTTTATATTTCTTTCAGGCACATTTTACAAAATCTGTTAAAGGCATACTGTTTTATAAAAACGGGGATCAACTTGGCTACCGATATCAGCTTGAAGTTTTAGAAAACTCTCTGGTAGAAATCTTTGCTAAAAGTATAATTGATGGAAGTAAGAAATACTATCACCATTTTAATTTCATATATTTGCATTTTAACAGTTATCTTCAATAAAATGTTCTTTTTTCAATGAAAATTATTTTCGTGTTTCCTATTTCGAAGCTGCAATAATATTTGATTATTTGAAATGATTATTTTGCATTGTACACATTTTTCATACTGCAATGTTTAATAAACTAAGTACAGTACAGAACCCGTTATCCGGAAATCAGAAAACCGGAAAACCAAAAAACCGGAACGAAATTCAATACATTTTCCCGCCATTTTTTTAAAAAAAAAAATTTTCCTCATAAGATTATAGGATTTTTCTTTCTTTTTTTAAAAAATGTTCACCTTATCATCATTTTGGAAATAATCATTAGTGTATTACTTCATCGTTTTTTCCTCTTTTTAAGATTATTTCCACAAAAAAATTTTTTTTTAGTTGGATTTAACAATAAAAAAACCGGTTTTTTGTAGCGATTCAGAAAACCGGAAAAATCAGTTATCCGGAATAGCGATGGTCCCGATCGTTCCGGATAATCGGTTCCCTACTGTATATTTTTTTTCTTATTTCCTTTCAAACTTAGAAATATTTAATAAAATGTGACGTGTTTAAATAATTGTAATATTCTTCTTTGAAATTCAATTCAGGGCAATTATTTATGTTTTAATTTTTATTTATTTTGAGTTTTGATGACAAACTTAATTAATTGTGTTGAAATCAGGGTATCCATGCGCCTGGAAAGTCATGGATTTTGATATAGAACAAAATATGTCATGAAATGTCATGATTTTAACTATTTTTTAAAAAAAAATCATGAAAAGTTATGGATTTAGGTCGCCGAAAAATCTAATTTTTTAAAATGGAATTTATCTCCATTTCATGGTGTTCCAAATGTCTGAATTTGTAACAAAATCCCCACTCACAGTCATATTTGATTAAAATATAAAATGTTTTTATTGTGTTCTTTAAAAATTACGGTGCTCTTTCAAAAAATGAAAGAAAAAACATAATTTCTAGAGCGAATTATTTATTTTAAACTTCTGTGATTTCAGAATTTTTGTTATTATTTTTATTTTTTATTTTATCAATTTGAAATTCTAGCTGAAGCAAGCCAGTCATAGGTGAATTTTTTAATTCCGAAATGAGAACAGAAAAATCAGGAGTATTTCTTTCCTTTCCGATGAACAAGAAATGTATCTTTAGAATGTAATTCTGCAGAAAAAAAATGATTTGCTTTCATATTTTTTTCATCTATTTTATTGCTTCAACTCTTTCTTTACTCTGTTTTTTAAATTTAAAATCTATAAATATGACGATGCAGAGTATAACAGTTTCCGTTATACCTATCATTTCAATGAATGTTATTAGGATAATGCTTTTTTAAACTTATTGTTGTGTTTTTGTCGGAGAAAATAGTAACTTCGGTAAGTAATGAAAAATTATATGAATAAGTCATGGAAAGTCATGAATTTGAAAATCTAAAATGTAGCAGATACCCTGTAAAATTCTATTTGTAGAACATTATTCTTTAATGCTTGATAATTATTATAATTATTATTTTTTTATTATATATATTTTTTATAGACTTGCTATATATTATGCATGTAGTAGCATATTTTACTTCAATTACCATTTTAAAAATTATTTCTTCTTTTAGGTCCGGATAGCAAAATACCTATAGAGATTTTGGTATTTCAAGATGGGAAGAAGAAATTGTTTGTTTCCTCCTCATCAGTCATTAATGAAAGTGTAAGCATACCAAAATTTTTCGTTTAAATGAGTACAATAGTTTCCTTTATATCATTTTAAATCTAATATTAACTTTGTTATTATGATTCCTTATTTTTGGATATTAATACTTGGATATTAATCATGTTTGGATATTACCTTATTTTTGGATATTAATAGGATACATTGGTGTTTTTATATTTCTGTATATTAATCTGATAAAAATGATTTAAGGCTTATAATTTCTCGTAATTATTTAAATGTTGATATTAAAATAATTTTGAAAGGTTAATTTCAAACATTGATTTATAAAATGTTTTATTTCCCTAGCAATTGAAAGTCTCAATGATTTGAAAGAAGCACATACTGGACTTAACTTGTTCATTTTTTTAACACAATAATTATCTAAATATTTTCCTAATGAGATAATTGTTTTTTTTAAAGGATAAAGTGTAAAATGTTTTAAAAAAATGTTTTTAAAATTTTTTTTGGTTTGAAAGTCATTTTATTGTTTATGAAGAAATAATAATAAACAGATATATAAAGATATAAAAGTAGATAAAAAAAACAGGAAAAAATGTGCAAAATAAAGCTGAGTTTCACTTTCGCAATTTGGATTTGGGCACGATTGTAATTTCAGAGAAAAGAAATATCTGTAATCAATGAAAATAATGTGTTATGACTCAATTCAGAAAAAAGAATAGAAACCAGTTCCTAAAATGAATCCTGCAGTGGACTGATTGTTAAGACCCCAGCAGATCACCGAAATCAAGCATCACTGGCTGCAGTCAGTGTGCGGATGGGTGACCACTCTGATAAGTCTGTATAGGGACCGAGGGTCTGCGGTATTGGTCCTCATTAAACTGTTCTACTGTAAAGTGATTGACTTCGCATGCAGTTTTCGGATCATCCTGAGGGATGTTTCCCAGACCGTCACCAATAGCCCATTGTGCACTCTAGTGTGACGTAAATGAACTACAAATGCAACAACAACATCCTAAGACGAGATAAACCCCCTTCTCTTTTACTTGTTAGTTAAGTTTTGTTTCATTATAGGCCTGTTTCGAGAAAATCCACTGGTTGTTTTTCCCTGGGGGATCAGGAAATATTATTTTGTCTACATTATAAGCTCTGCAGGTAAAGAAAAGCATTTATTTCATTTTAAGCATTGCACCGCTTTTGCCAAAAAGTATTGAAGAATTAATGTGGCAGATGCCTCAGATTTATTTTTGCCTTGCAAATTAGTAAACACAGATGCCCAACTATGTTCTTTGCTGATAAATCTTTTTTTATGATATTGCTGATCAATACAGAGGTTTCTGCTATTGGGAAGTCAATTTTTTAAAATTTAATTTCATATTTCCTATATTAATTAGTTGGACGAAATTTAGAACGCATGCCAAAATTGTAGACAAGTTAGCAGTATAAATAGGTTGCCCAGGGTACACCACATGGAGGAAGGTCTACGCTGCACCCCAAACGACTCTGGGCTGTCTTTTCAGTCGAAAAAGCTCGTCTGGAGACAAGCTTTGAAGTCGAAATTCAAAACACAAATACAAGATAGGATTAAATCCAAGATCTAGAGTGGTGAAGATCTTGCTGATATGCCCGATTGCCCAAGACGTGAGGCAGTGGCATTGTTCCGTCTGGTTACAGGACATGACTGCCTGAGTGAACATCTCCATACAATTGGTATTTTCGACTCCTCTCTTTGTTCATTATGCGACCTGGGAGAACCTCTGAATAGTGCTCATCTGCGTCGATGAGGGGCGCATCGTGGTTCTGCCAACTCCGAGACCGCCTCGTATTGGAGAGCTAGGGAACACCTGAGGCTTCAATGACTTCGATCAATATTTGTAATTGCTTGCTCATTGTTTCGCATTGACTTGTTTTTATAAATATAATATGCCTTGCCATTTGAAATAAAAAAAAGTATTAATTAGTTTTGTTGTAATTTATTTCTTAAAAAAGAAGGTTGTGAGTTTTTACTAAATTATTCTTTATCTATTACAGGGTTACTGCTCCGTGAAGCTTCAATTAAAGAAAGGAAAATACGTTTTAATTCCCATTCTTCAAAAGTGGGACCAGATATCCGATAACATATCTTACCTTCAGGATGCAAATCTTCTGATGCAGCGTAATGAAGATTCTAATCCAGAATTCTCTCTTCCGTGTGAAAATGCTTTGAGAAAAGTGTTTGAAGCCATTGATGTCGATGGAAATGGCCTCTTAAATCAACTGGAGTTTGATTTATTTATTCGTTATACTTCTGGGGAAACAGCGGCTGAAGAATGGACCACTGTTGAAGGTTTATTATTTCATCATTTCTTGTAACCTGGTGGCAGAATTTTTTCGGACTTTCTGCTACAAACTTCCCTAGCACTAATATTTTGCTTTAGGATACTTTTGATTAAAACAATTACTAGTTTAAAGTAACAGAAACATTGTGTTTACAGAAGAAAGTATATAATAAAAATGTATAAAGTTTTTTGATTGTAAAAGTAATATTTTTTTAATTCTAATATTATGGGCGATATTCTCGCATTTTGTGGGCAGAAAAATGCACTAATTATTTCCTCTTTCGAATTTTGTAAATTAGAATTCGTTACACAAATTAGAATTCGTAGCTAAATGAAACGATGATAAATTAAAATTCGTACATAAATTAAAAATCGCATAACCCGTGCAATTACTCCCAAAATAAAGATCACGAACCACGCAAATTAGACTGAAAAAACGATACTCAAATAAATGTATGTAAAATATGGTGTTCTTTAAAGGAAAAAAAAAATGAAAGAAAGAACATAACTTCTGGAGCAAACTATCTTTTAAACTTCCGCAATTTCTGAATTTTTTATTTTATACTATTAATTTGAAGTTCTAGCTTCTCTCATTATGGATTTTTCTTAAAATCTCAAAATGCCGCCGTGTCGTCTCAATTCTGCCACGGGGTCTTGTAGAAGGTGTACTTTTTCAATGCGTATGGAAATGGTCATACAGTCAATCGTGCTTAAAGGAATACCATTGGTCTTAGCCAAATTTATTCAACTAAGCGAGTTATTTAATTAAAAAGGGAGTTCATTATTTTATCTTAAATGCGAAATTTTTAAGAAATTTTACTTTTTATCGGTATATATATTTTATAGTATAATTTTTATAGTATTTGCACAGGCAATTTTTTTTCCAGATTTCATTGTCAACCCTGTAAAATCAGATTATTATAGTAAAAGTTAAAGTTCAAACAAAAATTGGGAGGTAGGGTTGTTTTGATCTTCTTATGCTAGTAAGAGAGGGAGTTATTATTTTTATTTTTGCTGACATTTGCTTATTTTTGCTGACAAGGGGAAAGAGAAGGCCCCAAAATTTACCAAAAATATGCTTATGTAATATTCAAACAGTCTTCAAATTGAGTCGAAAATCTAAAATTACACTTATATGAATTATTTTCAAAATATGTATTCGATGATATCGAACCTAAACTCCCGATTTCAACACTTAGCATTGGGCAGATGACAAAATCAAATACTTAAACAAGAGCCTCTTTTTTTTATTGCAGATTTGGATTTTTCTTAATAAAGTTTCCCCTCTTAAAAGTTGTTGCATTTTAGTTAAGTGACTCTGTAATTGAAAAATGAAAGGGTGTGAAAAGTGTGTTGGAAGATTTGTCAATGAGAAAGGCCTGTTAGTTTGTAATAATAAAACAAAATTGTTTGGCATTTTGAAAAACCTAATTAATGGTACCAAATTCGACCCCCTTCTTCACTCCCGGACGCTAGGGGAACTCGTGGGGGTGGATCTTAGATAAGGGGAGGGTTAAGAAATTAGTATAACTAATTAAATTTGTATCTGTACAGGATTAGTTTGCTGAAAATTTTCAATATAAAATTTTTATCTTTATATATATTTATCTGTTGTAATGTTTTTCTTTCCAGATAATTTTAAAATGCAAAATGGTCAGCTTACCTTTGATGGTTTCTTGGAACTTTACAGATTAGTCTTACAATCAGACCCTCCTGATCTTTTAAATATGTTTCAGCAAATGGGTATAAATGATGAATTTGAACTGAAAAATGTGAGTTTCATAAAGTTCAAAACTTGGATTTTTTTCATTCAAATAAAACTAAATAAAATTTTAATTTTTCTTTTTTAAATGTGTTTTATACAGAGTATCTGCGCACCTGGAAAGTCATGGGAATTATAGAAAGTCATGAATTTCAGAATTGAACAAAATTTGAAGTGAAATGTCATGTTTTTAAGTATTTTTTTAAAAGAAAAATCATAGCAAGTCATGGATTTAGGTTGCCGAAAAATCTAAACTTTAAAATGGAATTGATTCCCAATTTCATGGTGCTCCGAATAACTGAATTTGTTACAAAATCCCCACTCAAAGTCATATTTTACTAAAATATAAAATATTTTTATCATTGTTCTTTAAAAATTATGGTGTTCTTTCAGAAAATAAAAGAAAAAACATCATTTCTAGATCGAATTATCTTTTAAATTATTTATTATTTATTTTTTTCACTTTATCAATTTCAAATTCTAACTGAAGCAAGCCAGTCAGTGGCAAATTTTTTAAAATTCCGAAATGAGAACAGAAAAATCAGGAGTATTTTTTTCCTTTCTGATGAACAGGAAAAGTATCTTTAGAATATAATTCTGCAGAAAAAAAAGAAGCAAAAGTTATTTGCTTTTGTATTTTTTTAAGCTATTTTATTGCTTCAACTCTTTCTTTACTCTGTTTTTTAAATTTAAAATCTATAAATATGAAGATGTAGAGTATAACAGTTTTGGTTATACCTATCATTTTAATTAATGTTATNGAAAAGTATCTTTATAATTCTGCAGAAAAAAAAGAAGCAAAAGTTATTTGCTTTTGTATTTTTTTAAGCTATTTTATCGCTTCAACTCTTTCTTTACTCTGTTTTTTAAATTTAAAATCTATAAATATTAAGATGTAGAGTATAACAGTTTTGGTTATACCTATCATTTTAATTGATGTTATTATAATGCTTCTTCAAATTTATTGTTGTGTTTTTGTCAAAGAAAATAGTAACTTCGTTAAGTCATGAAAAATATGGAAATAGTCATATGGAATAGTCTTGGAAATAGTCATGGAAAGTCATGAATTTAAAAATCAAAAATGTAGCAGATGCCCTGTTTATACATTTTAAATATTAAACAACTTCAAAGCATAACACAATTTTAACTTTCGATCATTTATGTTTTTATAATTGAACTGTTTTTGTTCTTACATAATTTATTCAGATAATAATGTACATATTTCTAAATAGCGTTAAGTTTAATTATCAATATTTTTCTTGTTTCCTTCTATCTCCTTCTAACAGTTCTTTCAATCTTCTATGTGTGTCGGATTAAGTAGAAACTTTTCTTATGAATTTGCACTTTACATCATAGTCTTATTATAATTATTGCTTGTGCAAACTTTTATCGTTCCCCTAATGCTTAGCTTTTATTTATTTTGAAAAAGAAAAAATTCATAAAAACGTGCAGTACTTTTGTGATTGTTTTCCTGAACTTCAAATGATTCACTCTTTCTATAATTAAAAAATTTTTTTTCTTCTTTATGTAAATGTAATTTGATAATAAGAGTAATGTGAAATACATTAAAAAAATGCTGTATTAGTTTTCAAATTATTCTGGTCAATTTTTTGGATTTCAGGACAAATTATTTCCAAGATGAAAAAACAGCATTACTACAACTATATTGGATAAAAAGAATTTATTATTATTTTTTTTACCTGATTCTGGCTTTGATCTTTAATTTTGTTTTAATTATTTGTTTCAAATTTAATTAATCTTTAAAAAATATCTTGTCATTTTCTTTTTCTTTTCGCATTTGTTTTATCTCTATTTTTCTAACAGTGTCTTATCTTTTAAATGGTTTTTATTTCCATTTTAAAATTCTATTTGTTCTATTCTATAGTTTTATTTCAATTGTAAAACTAGCATTAATAATGTTTTAAAGAAAAAACCATTATTAATGCTAGTTTTACAATAATGATTCATAATACTATTTCTAGGATTTTATTTCGACCCCCCTTCGGTAATTACATACTTCTATTTCTATGGTTTTATATCTGTTGTAAAACCAACATTAATAATGTTTTAAAGATTAAAAGAGGATATCTTTGTAATATTTAAAATGGAAGACAATTTAGGAAGCAGTATTAAAATAAAGTTAGGTGCAGTTTTGACAAGGAGCACAATTGTCAGTACCAGGACTGAATGATGTACTACTGAGACTGATGTACTACTAGCCATAAAGACTTCATTTATAGCATTGAAACAGCTGTATGCAGTTCCGGATTACCTATTAGGCCAGACTAGGCCATGACCTGGGCCCCCTTAAAATGGATTTTTTGAAAATAAATGTAAAAAAATTAATAAAAACAATGATTTAAAAAAAAAAATCAATTTCAAATATATATGTTATGATTATTTTTTAGTTCTAATTTAACAAAATAAAGTAAAATTTAATTTGTTATTATTTATTTTAATTTTAAATATGCTTTCTTAAATGAAAAGATATATAAATACTTTTATATTTGAATAAAAAAAAATATACGAGAAATTTTTTTTTATCTAAGGGCCCCAAAAATTTGAATGGCCTAGGGCCCCGAGTACGCTTAATCTGGCCCTGGCTGCATGTTTTAAACTATTTCATACATCCTTTTCACATTATCAGGGCTGATTGTGAGTCCAACTCAAAAATCCGGAAAACTTCTTGAGTAAAATCATTAAAGTCGCATAATGTCTTTATAAATTTAAATCATTGATATTTTCTAAACATTGAATTCTAAATAAATTATTATTTTTTTTTTTAAATTACGCCCGCCATCGTCTTCTCAGACATAAGGCGTCTTGCAGTCCAATACAACACTGAAGTAGCTCCAGAAGGTGAGAGGGCACAAAAGTCATCACAGGAACGAATGTCAAGAAGAGAGGGGCAATCAAATAAATGCTCCCCAGTCATTGGCGAAGTGCTACAGAGCACACAAAGAGGTGAATTGACCANAATATTTTTAAATAAAATATACAAGAATTTTTATACATAAATGTGATCGATGATTTCCTGAAACTCCGGGTTCTAAGATTTCCGTAATCTTCCGGAGTGCAATTTGGGAAAAATCCGGAAATTCGGATTTTTTGCCCAGCACTATCACCCCTGCATTATTTTCTGTATAAAAACTCCACTTGTTTTTCCTACCAAATGTTTCTTTATTCATACCATAAAATATGTTATTTTACATTTATTAATCAGAATATTTTTAGGTTCAACAATTTGCACTTGTTGTAAAATCTGAGACAGCCAAATTCCACCTGACTCCTTTACCAATTTCTTCTTATTTGGAAGTGTCTGAAAAAGTTTTGAAGAAATCAGCCGTTGAACAGGGTGTGTCTTCAAAAATAAAAGAAATGAATGACTTGTTTCTTTTCAAACACATTTTACCCCATAGAGTTACTCTAGTCATCCAAAATCAGGTTTGTTTACTTTCCTTTATTATTGTGGTTTAAACAAATTCTGAGCAACTATATAATTTACTGAATGCCTAAACATTATATGATTAAAAAATTATTCTTTAAAATTTAAATATGATAATCGATATATCTTTTGTTAATGTTTCTGAATTTCAAAAGTTAATGTTGATTTTTACATTAACTGATTGAGAGTCGGAGTGGCTCAGGGAATTGAGCATTCGCTTTACAATGAGGTGAACCGGGTTCGAATCCCAGACTGTTCGATACGAATGCCGCATTTGGCTCCCACCGACCACAGTGCTTAGTAAAATATCTTCAGTGAGAGATCATGGGTTAAAGTCCCCTTGCCATCAGACTAACTATGGGAGGTATACCTCTTCATCTAACGCAAATGCGGCTTAGATCCATCAATAAGTCCTCTTCAAAGGCATATTTCTCTCAATACTTGATCCAAAGGGCCAGAATAGCCTCTTTGGTAGGGCGCTGGACCCATGTCCAAGAGTTCGTGGGTTCGATCCCAGCCGGCCGAAGACTCACCGTGTAGTAAATGGTGACTGATGCACATTAAATATGTCGAGTTGCAAAGTCCTCCATGTTCCCATGTCAAATCAATGCATTTAGGGGTACTGATCTAGGAGTTTTCTTGTCTTCTGGATTGTTTTAAAATAACAAGGCTACAGAGTACAGTATTTGTAGTCATAAACCCAAAAAATTTGGTCGGCTGTTCAACTACGGTTACAAAGAAAAATTAACTGACTGAGTGTAAACAGCAACTTATAAGACCTTCTTTTGCATTTTTCCTACCAAAACTCCAGTTTTTCTTTTTTATTCAGTAAAAGAGTTGTGTACTCAGAAGAACTTTCTAAGTAAACTTGCTCTGATAGGTAACAAAAACTTTTATAAAGTGTTAATGAATTTCAAAAGTTGAAAATGAATATTTTATAATATGCAGTATTATTCAATCGAATATATACAGTGCCTTATGAACTATCTCACTTGTTTTCCCACCAAAATACTAGTTTTTATCCATGTTATTCAATGAAAGAGTTGTATATCAAGAAAAAAAATTCTATATAAACTTGCGGAATGCGAACAGAACGTTTTATTTAGTTTTAATGAATTTCAAAAGAGTTGATGTTAAGTATTGTATTAACCCAATGAGTGTGTGCAGCGCCCTATGACTCTCTTTTACCTGTTTTTCCTACTATAAACTAGTTTTTTTCCTTGTTATTCACTGAAAAAATTGTGCATTGAGAAGAAATTGCTATATGAATTTGCCCAAATGGGAAGCAAAATCTCTTTATTTGGTGTTAATGAATTTTTGAAAGATGATGTTTAACACAGAATAAGCGATATATTGTGATGAAAATGAAAAACTGCTTATTAATTAGTGAAATAAATAACCTGCAGATATAAATGTTTAACTCTCTTTAATATAAAAATGCAACAGATCAGTTTCTCATTAATAAATTTTATTTTCCATTCTTTAGTCACATAGCAAAGTGATGGTGAATCTAGATTGCAGTGATAGCGTTAACTGTGAGAGTCACAGGAAAAACCTAAGTTATTCTGCTGAAGTAACTCCAAGAACAAGCAAGGTTAGTATTCTTCTTCCTCTTAGGCACTACAGCCAGTCACTGGCCAAGGTCATCTCAGTCAGTTTATCCCATCTAGATATATTTGATGCTATATTTCACCATTTGTTAACTCCTAAGTTCTTTAACAACTTCTCTATTCTAAATAACCACTTTGTTCTAGGTCTTCCTCTTTTTCCTTCTGGCGAGTTTTATTATACAGGAATTATATATTTCCTCAAACTGTGGTTGTTCAATTCTTACTTTTTAGAATATATTTAATAAGGATAATGTATTATGTCTTAAGTTTATCGCATTTACAATTTCCAAAATAAAATTCTGCTTATAGTAAATTTTACGAAATTCAAATATAACCTAATGAGAGAAAAAAGTGTCATTTTTTACTTAGTGGCTATATAACAGTTGGGCTGAAAAGTTCGTAGGCTAACATAGAAATTTTTTTTTGATGAAATTTCATTTTATTATTCAATATAGTTTCCTTCAAGGGTGATACTATGATTATAGCGGTCATATAATTTTTCGATACCATTTTTATAGTACGATTTGTTTTTAGCCTCAAAATAGGCCTTAGTTTTGGTGATTACTTCTTCAGCGGTGCTAAATTTCTTTCCAGCGAGCATTCTCTTGAGGTCTGAGAACAGGAAAAGTCGCTGGGGACCATATCTGGAGAATACGGTGGATGCAGAAGCAATTCGAAAAGCAATTCATATAATTTTGCCATCGTTTTCATTGACTTGTGACACGGTGCATTGTTTTGATGAAACAGCACTTTCTTCTTCTTCAAATGGCATACCCAAATATTCATTCACGATATGTCCAACACGTTTCTTTGATATCTTTAGAGTCTCAGATATTTTGATCAACTTCACTTTATGGTAATCTAAAATAATTTTGTGGACTTTTTTGATGTTTTCTTCGGTAACATCCTCTTTGGCGCGTCCACTGAGTGCATCGTCGCCGGTGCTCATTTCGCCTCGTTTAAACTTAGCAAACCACTTCTCAATGGTTGATTTTCCTGGTACAGAGTCTGAATAATGTTTCTCAAGCCAACCCTTGGCTTCAAGAGTATTTTTTTTCGCTGAAAAGCAATACTTTATAAACACATGAAATTCCTTTTTATCCATTGTTTTTAAACTAACAAAAGTTGCTTCACTAAAAATACTATATCTCACAAACTAATAGTTCGGCAGCTGTCAAATGTATACACGTGTCTTTCAAAGGTTAGAACTAACTAAAAATCATATGTATTTAATAATAGTAACCCCATCTATGTGTCAGCCTGCGAACTTTTCAGCCCAACTGTTATATAGATTGATTTTAATTCAAAGCATATGTAAAAAAAGTTCTGATGTTAAAAGATCTGATATTATATTTTATTAAAAAATAACTCATTCAGTATGCAAAAATATGATCGGAAACACTAATGATTCATTTTGTAAATAATGGAAATATTTACATACAGATTTTTTTAATAATGAAATATATGCTGTCCATAAAAGTTTATAATATTCGCTTTGGGGAAAAAAATATTTTTAATGACATTAACTTATTTGACTTTCTTATACTTTTTTCAATTTCAACAAGCATTTTAGTACTTAAATTTTACTTTAAGACTGACAAAAAAAAAAACATAATTCATATAGTAAGGAGCATATAAATGAACTAAAAATACTATTTTTGAAAAAATAAAATTTTTATATGGGAAATTAAGTTGCAAAAGTTGGAGAAACATTATTATTTTGAACATAATTTTATGACAAATATAAGTTTTTATCAGATTATTTGTTTAAACTTAAAACATTTTAGTTTTTATCGTGAGATAAATTTATACTAGGATTTGACTAGCCAAATAATATATTTCTTATATTTGTAAAATAGTCCTTTTATCCTGCAAAATTCATAAAGAAATAACAGGATAAAAGCAAACATTTTGATGGACAAAAGCATAATATTGTTCATAAATCTATGGTTAATGTTGCATTGCTAATATAAAACCAGTAGATTAAATCAGTTTACCAGCATTAATGATTAAGATGATTTACCCAGAAAGATTTTATTAATTTAATTTTGAATAATACCTCACTCATTCAGTAAAATTCTAATTATTTATTACTTTAGTGTAGAAAGAATTTTCTTTTTTAAAATTTGATTGAATGGTCAATTTATAGAAGGTTTAGATCAGCATTTAGAAATATTACTCAAGGTAAATTTTGGATTATTCAACACAAACGATTGACAAGTAATCAAGATAGAAAATGTCTATATATATTCTTTTTTTTTATACCAAAGACATTAATTTTAAGACATCAACTTGAAATGTTTCTTACCATTAATAAACTTCTTCTTGTCAGTGTATAAAATGATGTATTTATTATAAAAATAGTTATGCATATCAGATAAAAACCATATCATATTATATTAATTTCAAATTATGTTTATTAAAAATGTAAAATTTGCTGCCTTGAAATTTTTATATTTAAAGATCTATGTAAATTTAAAAATAATTTTTTTAATATCTTTAATTTTATTAATATAAAGTTACAAGTCAAACATTTAATTATCTCTTTTTATTAAGATATTATAAACTATACTTACTTTCATACTTTATTTTTATTTTAGATTGTTCATCATCTGTTTCCAATTGATGTAAACAAAGATTGGAATGTAGACTATAAAGAATCATTTAAAACTGACTTAAAATAAAATGTACAAAACTACTTTTTGTTGTTCTGTATTGTATTTTGCATCAATACGATAATTAAATAAAAAAATGTAAAATTTAAAAAAGTAAAAAATTAAGCCCTTATATTGATTGGTACTATAATTTTCAGAATGCATCTAAAATGAATTCCTCATAATTGCTAATACAGAAATGTTATGGCTGCAGTTAACTAAAACAAACCTTTTAAAGAAAGACAACCTTTCATTTGTAAATAACTTAATTTTAGATTAAGATTTTAATATCTAAAGTAATTTAAAATTGTTCAAAACTATGATTTTATGAAACTCAAGAGTTAAATTTTTTTTATAATTAGATATTAATTCAAGAATGTTTAATGTTAATATTGTCTTAAAAACATTTCATTTGTTTCTTAATATTTTTTTTGAATTTCACTATTCTATGTAATAAAATAGCCCTAATATGACATAAAAACTAGATTAAAATGACTGATTAAGCTAAACTTTTTCTGAATTCAAGGAGTTTTCTAACAAAAAATATTGCTTTGGAATTCAAATGTATGTTAGTAAATTAATTAGTATTATACCAATTTAAAATAATGAACAACTTCTGTTAACTATGCATCACATAAGTATCAAGCCTTTTTCTGAAGATAACACACATATTTTGAAGCTGCCATAATTTATATATTTGTTTTTATTTTTAGCACCGTCAAATAGTAAAAAAAAGAATTGTCAGTCTGAGCCCATCAAACGTTATTGAACTACACTATAATCGTACAATTTATTTGATATATGTTTATATTTGAACATAAGAAAAATAAAACAATAATATATCTTAAATATTTATTAAAAATAAAAATATATACATTATTAATATAAATTGCACAGAGTTTTTATCATTTTAATTTGAAATAAATCAGTTTAATGCTACTACAGTTCTATACAAAAAAAAAATAATTATTTTGCAACATTGTTTTTGATTGCTTTCACTGTAAAATAAATGTTTTAAACTATTAGATTTTTCAAATTGATATATTTTAATTTAGAAATATTTAATTGATGTTAAAATATACATCTTTAATTAGTTTTACTAACACTTTATATAACTTTTAAGAACTGTACAAACCTTGCTTTAGTTAATATCTTTCAAATAAAACAAACTTGCATTGTTTTAAGAGTTGTTATAAACTAAAACTTTATTAACTAAACTATTCCAATAGAAAAAAGTCAATATCCTTAATGCATTTAAAAATATACTTCATATTCACCGGCCTTTTAAATTCAACTAAAAGTGACCAGATCACCTTCATTCATAAAGTTTTCTTTTGTTTATTTATGTCTCCAGTCAAGGCACTAGTTTAGATGACCACAGTGCTGCAGAATATGTTCACAAACAAAGTTAGGGGAAAATTCAGACAGCCCTGGGGAAATTTTTGATAAAATTTTAGAAAAAAAAAAATTCACTGAGGAAATTAGGTTTCTAATTGAAAAGAAAATTGCTAAAAATTTTTTTATTGTATGAAAATATTGTGTTGCTTCCCCCCTCCTCCCCAAAAAAAAATTTAATAAAAAATTACTCTTCTATTATAATTTTATGGAAAATATCAAACCAAGGAAACTTTGTTCTGGAGAAATGTTGATGACCCGACATACCCTATTTGTAACGCTTTATCTGTTAAAGTTCATGAGCTAACTTTTAATCACAGAAAGCTGTATGGAAACAATCTTTTTCCAAAATCCAAAACAGTTTTAGACACTGAAAAAAAAATTCATAATTTTTTAAAAAGTTTAAACAAATGTATTCAAAATGATTCGAATCTTGTGTATTTATCATCCACTCTATTAAAACTTCTAAAAATTTTCATAATATATATCTCTTTCAATACATAAATAATAATAAAATTATTCATTTTAAGTCAGGAGTAGATCCCCCTAGGTAGTGTCTCAAATCATTTATTGTAGATTTAACTAGTTTGCACCTAATTGTTGGAAGACCAAGTCTTTTATGAGCCTCGTAGCGATGACATCCACCAAAAGAATAGTAATAGTTTCCGCCTTCTCTCCCTGTTATCCACAGGACATCGACTGGTGGCACATTTTCTCGTGATTCAGGATTCTAGAAAATAAAAATTTTTATATTTTGATCGGGGACAGTATTTTGACCAGAAGAATCTGGTACATAGAACCAGAAGAAAGTAACTAAAAATGACTTACAATTATTTCACAATGAATATCATAAGAATAGTAGCTTAAATTTTAATAAATTAAATTTAAAAAAGTGTCCGGGAACTAAAAGTTTTTCACATAAACTTGTTTTTAAAAAAAACAACCTAAGTAACTAAAAATAACTCACCATTATTTCACAATGAATATTATAAGAACAGCTTAAATTTTAATAAATTAAATTGAATAAAGTGTCAGGGAACTAAAGGTTTTTCACATAAACTCATTAAAAAAAAAACCTTAATGCCTAAAAATGACTTACAATTATTTCACAATGAATATTATAAGAATAGCTTAAATTTTAATAAATTAAATTTAATAGAGTGTCAGGGAACTAAAAGTTTTTTCCCATAAACTTTAAAAAAAAAAAAAAAAAGTACCTAAAAATGACATACAATTATTTCACAATGAATATTATAAGAATAGCTTAAATTTTAATAACTTAAATTTAATAAAGTGTTAGGAAACTAAAATTTTTTCCACTTAAACTCTTAAAAAAAAACATTTTCAGATTTTTTATTCTAGTTGTCTACCTAATTTTAAAATTTTAGTCTGTTTGAGTATTTATACTTCAGCATTTGATTTTAAAAATTATGTGCTATTTGTAAATTCTAAGTTCGATTTGTGATTTGTAGTTGTGTATATGTTTAGTTAAGTGCCTCAAAATTATAAGTTTGTAACAAAATACAATTTTTTTTTAAAAAATTTAATTTAATTTTATGACAAATTTTAAAATCTATATATCATATTATTTATTAGTCTGTTTGAGTATTCACTTAACAGCATTTGATTTCAAAAATTGGTGTGCAATTCGTAATTCTAAATTCAATTTGTAGTACTGTATAAGTTTAGTATATGATTTATTAATATAGTAATTATTAATAAAATTTGTTTGTGATATTTTAAGAATTCTTTATATAATTATGAAATAAGATTTTACGATACTCATTTATGTAATGTATAGAAAGATTAATGTCTTTCGTAATTCTTTGAATTTATTTTATTCTCTAATTAGTGCTTCTTAGGAGGGATTTCCGTAACGTGATCTGTGGCAGAATAGTTGCCAAGTCTTGGCAACTTCGGGGCAGTGGCCCACCCTGAAACTATAAAAAAACATCAAGGAGAGGGTCAAACTCGAAAGGTATAACTCGTAACCACCCCTGGGCAAACATCTACGTGTTTTTTGTTTTAAAATTTGCAAGTTTAAAATCTATTTGGCACCTTAATTGTAGTTGGCGCGACAGATCACGATATGGAAATATCCCCGCTTTTCAGTTTTCATTAATTTAATGCTAGGAAATTAATACAGTCATTTAAACTAGATTGCAAATATAAACTGCTTAACGCTTTCAATGTTTGATATTTATTTTTGAAAAAGAGTTTCTCTATTTTTATTTCTTTCACTTTTGTTGGAACCTACCCATGTTGTTTTTCACCGTGGAAGAAACTTACCATTACTGATTTAGATAAACTTAATATGCAAATCAGTTAAATTATAAGTAATAATTATATAATATTTTTTAAATATTTTATTTCCGTTTACCTTTAATGTTTCCATTAAGCTCAAAACTTTATCTTCATCTAATTCGGAAGGAAAAGATCTTATTAATACATTAAAAGGAACATCGTGAATTTCATGTATATGAGCTGCATGAATGCTTGAAACTGTTGTTTTTTCAGTCATAGTTCGTACTATATTTGGAAAATTTGAACAAACTTTTTGACGAGATAAGCTAATAACGTTGATGTTCTGAAACCATAGAGCAGTACTTGTCATTCCAAGTAAAATCCGGGAAACGGATGTAAAATGACGCATTATTTCATAATTCGGATGAATTTATGGGCGAAACAACAACAAAACCATGTTACATAACCACTTCTTATGAATTCATTTTTCCGCTTAAACCAAACTTTATGAAAAATAAAAAGTCTATGTAAGCTAAAAGCAAACTTCTTATATGTACGAACCTCAGAAAATAATTGCTGTACCACAAAATACGAAAGAAACAAAACAAAACTTTTCATTCAACTGGCGTTTTAAAATTATGAGCATTATTCGTTAACTATTTTTTTAAATGACTTATCATAGTAGTAAACCCCTCAGTTTATTTAATATTACTCTAAAATTCATTTCCTCAAATGTTGAAGATATCGAGACTTTAATAGGATTTCCTGAAATAGTTGGAAAGAAAATTTTTGATGAATTTATTTTCCGTGAAAAACAGTTGGCTGAAGATGGTGTTCTGTTCAAAAATGTTTCAGAACTTACTTTGTCCAAAATATTACACATTTTTGTGACAGCTTACGGTTATAGTGTCTTAAGAACTCTCAATTTATCTTACAGTTTAATTGTAATAAATGAATATTTTAGCTCCATTATAAAACTTCTACCTCCTCTCGTAGAATTATGTCTTTGTCATTGCTCTTTGGGAAATAATCATGAGATAACTGAGTGTATTTCTGACATGATATGGTGAATGAATAATTTTTTAATCTATAAATCACAGTTTGATTTATAAATTTCTCCAATTACCATACTAATAATTAACGTCATTTCCATCATAATCTGGTCAATAAACAGCGTGAAAATATTAAATATAAAACTTCATTTTGTTATGTGGTAATTGTTTCGATTCTAATGAATGAGTTCTTATATATATGAAAGTAATTTCAATAAAATAAAGTGTTATGAAAAAAAGGGGATAGATCCGTCTTGGTACCTGTTTACGCTAATTACAATCGCAAATCTATTAAAAAGAAATTTAAAATTTACAAAAATTTTAATTAAAATATAAAGAGGGTTGACTGTGAGTTATACTCTTTGAGTTGGTCCCTTCCTGTGATGTTTAATTTCGCCTAGAAGTCGTCAACGCTTGGCAATTATTTTAGGCTAGGTAACGATAAGAAAATCTATGCTCTACCAGATTTACTCTTTTCAGTCGATTATATTTTAATATTTTTGATGATATATTTTAATATTTTTTTTAATTTTATTTTCCTTAAATGTAACAAAATTTTTAGCATGAAGATCTGATTGTGAAAAAAAAAAGAATATTTGGAGGCAAATTCTAATTAATGTGTTATTCAGTTTGAAGTATATTATTAGTTCGCTACATATTCATCATTAGTATTGAATCCAACAAAATTACTATTCAGTGTGTAATTCTTACTGTTCAGTGATAATTGTATTCATGTTTTACTTTTCAAAACTGAAGAATGTTACATTACAAGAATACAGTTTTTGAATTATAGAAATATAACTGTATATTAAAATTTTTGGGCTGATATTAGTTGCAATTAAAAGTTTTTCACTGGAACAAGAAACTTAAAAATTTTATCAGTCACATTTTACTATTATAAAATTTGAAAATATGATTAATATGTTTTGCTCAGAGTTCCTAAAACTGTAGCAACTCTGCTTTATTTTAATCATAAATGTTTCTGATAATATGTCATTGATTAATTTTGATGTATTTCAATATATGTAATTAAAAACAATATATTTAATTTACGAAAAAAATTATGTTTAAATCCTACATTTTTTTAAAATTATTTAGGGTTATGTAATGAAAGTTTGTTAATTTATTTTTAAGAATTATATTTTTTAGCTTCTTCTTCTTCATAAGCGCAACTGCCTTTCACAGGCCAAGGCTGACTCGCATATTTTCCTCCATCTGGCCCTGTCCGGTGCGACGGCCCGCCATCGGTTGACTCCCAATAGCTTGAGGTCCCTTTCAACGTCGTCTATCCATCTTGTAGGTGGTCGTCCCCTACGTCTCGTCCCTTCAATTGTGGAAAAAGTCACTTTTTTGGCAGGGACGGCATCAGAATTTCTGAAGAGGTGGCCCAGCCCCCTAATGCGTGATGCTTTAAAAGTTCTCACAATGTCGGTCCCACCGAATTTGTCATATTTTTTGTAAATTTCCTGGTTGTAAAGGTGGAACTTGGTTTTAGCTTAATAACCTTATATTTCTGTGATGCGAATTTTGAATACTTGTATTTTAATATAAATTTTTGTACCTCATTTTTAAAATTGTTTTTATTTCTTATAGCTTAAGAAAACTTTGTCTGAAACAAAATGGTTTAAAAAATACAGTTATTCGAAAGATATCAATTCCATTTAGAATGTTTGGTAAAGGTCCTAAACACTTGGAATGTATAGATTTGTCAGGTTAGTTAATTACTATTTACCATCAAAAGTTATAAAAAAGAATTGAAATATTTTCAATACTTATGTTTTTATTTCATCATCATCATAGTTGGTCAGACAGCCTAATGTGGGCCAATGCCTTCGTCTGAAGATTTTTCCATTAAAACTTCAAATTTATCTTTGATCTCAAATTCTTTTCATTGCTTGCAAGGAAATCAGACTCCACCGAATCAGCCCATCTCAACCGCGGCCTTAAGTTTATATTTACTTTGTCATATTTATATCATTAAAATGACAGGATTTATAATAACTTCTTATAAAAGTTCTAGCCAACTATAATGTTCAGCTCGTCTGTTTACAATTTAAAAACCCCTCCACTAAGTATTTCTTTGCCTTCTGATTATTGATTTAGATTCACTATTGGCTACACACCATGATTGTATAGATTTTCCATGATAGCATACCTGCAAAGTGTCCTGTTTTTTAACGAAGACTCCTCTATTTTACTAATATCTCCTGTTTATCCGTATATTCTTAAATTTTTCCATATTCGTTGAAGAAATTAAAAAAAAAAAAAAATGCGATAAAATATCTGCTGATGGCAAAAAATACTTCTCTTAGTCCTCAACAGGTAGTGCTATTGCCAGTACTGCAGTGTATTGAGTGTTAATGTTTAAGTAATTATAAATAATGGTTTAAAAAAAATGTTCTTTAGATTAAGATTTATATACATATTTTCTACTTCACTAAATGTTAGTGCTTATATTATTTCCAATTTTGTATTTCTCTTTTTAACTTACATGTTTATGCATGATCTATCAAAAGTTTACTGATACCCTAAAAAATTTTGCTAGTAAAATCTCAGTTATCTTATTTCATTGGCAAATATGTGATAGAATTATACTGTTATCATTAAAAACAGATTAAGATATTTAATATTTCTAATAAGTTTTTTTTTTACAGCTCTCATAATAGTTTTGATAAAATTTTATAATATATTTGCAGATAATCCTTTAACAGATGAAATTATTCCATGGTTAATAGTTTTCAAGAAATTAAGATGGATAAATCTAAGCAACACTTGTATTACGGTACTTTTTAATTTTATACTTGCTATTATGTTTGTTTTGAATTCATTATGAGTTATGAAAAAATGTATTTTGAAGAACTGATCTCACTATTAAATTAAAAATAAATATTAAAAATAAAAAACTCAGTCATAAAGATTTAATAATAAAGATAATAAAGATTTATTTATATATTTTTTTATGTTAGAGAACTATTCTGACTGTGTATTTTAAAACCACCCCCTCAAAGATTGGACCCCTGTGACGCTCATGAAAGTACTGGTTGATGGGCCCTAAAATTTTTATTGACTTCTAATTCCTTTTCAAAAGAAACAAAATGTAAAGTATAAAAATATATATTGTAAGTAATAATGGATTTTAAATTATTTATTACAGGACAGTAATATTTGTGTTATTTCAATTTTATAAAGGTTATCTACATAAACCTTGAATAAATAAATGAAGTCTATTCATATATCATGTCATAAATAATTTACAAATATTATTTTTTAAGCACTATTTACAAATTAATTTTATTAATTAGCTTTTTCATTATAATATTTCATTTAATTTCAATTAATCAATAAATCTCAAATTTCCTTAAAGCAACCATTTAAATACTGATAACCAGAGCCCGGATTTTGATGGCCTAAAAAATCTCAACTAATGCTCTTAATAAATGCAAAAAATGCCCTTAAAAAGTGCAAAAAATGCTCTGAAAATGCGAAAATTGTGCTAAGAACTTAAATAAAGTAAAAATATTGAACTAAAACAATGTTTTACTCTTTAATGTTTATTATGAGTCATTTCAAAAAATATAAAGCAATGCAATACTTGTTCTACGTTCATTAAAGTTTGCAAAATATGTTTTATATTCTAAAATAACAAAAAAAAAGGAAAATATATTAACTCCAAAACATTTTTATTCTGTATAAAACCTTTAATGAATATAACAACTTCCATCTCATAATATTATTAAATATCAGAATTACATTGAATTATTAAATGTTTTTTCATATTTTGAAATGTAAACGAGCGCTTCTTGTCTAAAAGTTAATTTTTATACTTGGAGAAGCTTCTTTCAACGTCTACTGATGTTATTGGTGTGTACTTGAAAAAGACGGTCTCACTTACTGACAATTCTTCATCAATTTGAAAAGATGTTGCTTCACCTGTTAATATCCTAGAGATTTTCTTCATTGTTTGGAAGCCAGTGTTCTTCTCCAAAACTTTGTTCAATTTAGCTGCTTCACTTTGTCCTATCTTTCCCCTTGCTTTTTGCAACATTTGACTCACTATGTCAATATAATTTATTGCAACGCAAAGTTCTAATTCTTGTTTCTCCAAGCTTGTAATTGTCGAGGATATGGTAGCAAAGTTAGACTTGATAAATGTTAAGTTTCCTTCGATTTTATCAGAGGCCAGCACGTTTTGAGCTATCTTAATTGATGCAGCATTTTCTGAATCAAAAAACTACAGACGATGGACTTCACTATCTTAAAATTAAGCATGCATCAAATCAGGTACCCCATCGTGTGATTACTTGTTTAGGGGACAAAGCCAGACTAGGAGCAAATGTTTTGAAACATTCTTGACGATATCGGGGTTTCAGAAAAATCTTTTTCACATTTGACACCAGATTGTCTACATCAGAGTATTTTTCACGGATCTCTTCGGAACACGATGAAGTGCATGTGCAAAACAAGTAACATGAACTAGTTTTGATAGTCAACTATAGTCAAGAGTAGAAAAACATAATGGCATGCAGGTGGTATTGAGGGAATATGAAATGTAAAATTATAAGACAAATCTTGCATTTCATGTAATAAAAATGCCCCAAAAATAATAAAAACTCAGAAAAAATTAACAAAAAACTTAAATGCTTTAAAATGCAAAATACGCCCCAAAATTTTAAAAAAATGCCCTATAAATCTAAAAAAAATGCTCTAAATGACAAAAAATGTCCAAAAATGCAAAAGTCATTAAAATCCGGGCCTTACTGCTAACCTTTTTAAAACATTAGTTAAAATATTTGGTTTAAAATTAAAAAGATATACTATTTAAGATATACTATTAGATTTTAAGGTATACTATTTTCAGAAATTTTTTTAAATGACTACATATTAGAATTAAATGTATTTTTAGAGGTCGTTTACTTTCAGATAATGATGTTTAATATTTTATAATTTTGATACCTAGTTATTTATCTTTTTTTTTCAATATTATAGAACTGTTGTTAAAAAAACTGTGTATAAACTGTTCAGAATCAATGAAAACAAAGAATTTTTAAATGCAGTTTTATTTCAGTAGGGAAACCCAATTTAAAGTTACATTATCTAGGATGTCCAATGATTATAAGAGAAAAATTTAACCTTGACAACAATTATATAGATCTCTTCAATATATCTTACAAGCAAGGGAATACTTAAAAGGGAATAATAAAATTAATACCATTTAATTTCTTGATACATTAATGAAATAATTATGTTTAATTTACAATTTGTAAAAGCTTTTAAATGATTACAGATTTGAAATATATTCTTAGAGATTGCTTTTTTACAGATGATGATGCTTCATATTTTAAAATGTTTTATACTTATCTCTTATATATATATATATATATACACTTAATCTAATTTTTTTGGGACAGAAGTTTTTAAAATACTAAATATCACCCTGTTTAATATTTAAACCATTTTTTCTAAACAATTCTAAAGCAGATTAGAATTTTGTTTCAAATGTATTATTTAAAGCTCATTTAAAGTCATCAATAAATTTATGAAAAAAATAATTAGCATTTTTATACAGCTGATTCTCTTTGTCAATAATATTTTTTCTCTTTTCTTTTAGGATAAAGGTATTAAAGTGCTTATCAAAAATGGATTTTCTCACTATTCCAATTTGAAGGAAATTACACATCCCATTGTTACAGAAGGATGGGCTACTGTGATTATTGAAAATTGGAAAAATGCCCATGGCCTAAGGTTAAAGTCTCGCAAAACAATTAGAGGTTCTCGGTCATTACTAGGTAAAAGTATTTAATTACATAAATTTGATTAAGACCACATTACTTCAGGTTAACAGCAATGCGTTTTAAATATGGGCTTAGTAAAGGAAAAGGCTTGAGGAGCACAGCCCCTCTTTTGTGAAACAACAAAATTTTAAAAAATGTGACAAGTAATTTTTAATGAAATAAATTTTGTTCAGTTCTTATGTTATTATTTTTAAATGTTTAATTTCCTAAATGTTTATTTAAATCCAAATTGCAATCTTCTCTTATTCTTTTATGAAGGTCTAAAGAAATTATATTTTAAAATTTTGTTGCTACTTTAAATGAGAGAACAAATCAGTAAAATTCTCATTCTAGCTATTGTAAATTAGAAAATGTGTACACTTTACTCTTTTTTTTCACTGTAGTTTTTTTTATTAATAAAGCATTTATGACGTAAAACGTTATTGATAGATAAAAACCTACTTTTCCATGTCTACTCCTTTAATGATAACCATTATGTTTATTAAATGAGAGATTAAGTTTAAAATATAATATTTTTTTTAAAGTGATCATAACCTAATAAGATATACAGAACATAGCTATTAGACGAAAGGATATTTAATGCATCCTAAAAAGAAAACTAATTTGGATAAAGCTTACATTTTTAAAATTAAAAAATACTTGATGTACACTACCCTACAACAATGGAAGAGAGACTTTCAGATTTTGATATTTTTTCGAATTTCTCATGAAATTACTTAGCACACTATTTTATAACTTAAGAAATGTTTAGTTAATACGATTTTAGCATTCACAGGTTTGAAAGACCGACAATAAATTCTGAAAGAAAGCAAGTATTTTTTTAACACACTATGCCTGAAAATCAAGCAGTAACTGCATAAATGTAACTGTAAATCTACTTGTAACTGTAAATCTAGCTTAAATATTTATGGCGATGTGAACATTTTTATAAAAAACTAATTTTTTTCTTTTATGATTCTTTTCTTTTCTTGATTCTTTTCTTTTATGATTTATTGCTATAGCTGTAAAAATATTCAGTAAAATTAAACAAATTTTTTGGAGTATATTAAAATTAAAAATGCACCAGATATTGTAGTTCTTTTGTAATGTAGTATATTATAGTTCTTTTGTAATGTGCATGTGCAAAAAAAGTTTAAATTAATTTTTTCGTAATTTTGTAATTCATCGTATTTAGCAACTAATGAAAAAATTCCGATTTAAATATACAAAAAAACGTAAAAAGTTTTAAGCTATTTTCAAAGTAGTTTTTTAACTTTTTAAAAGAAAGCTCAAAATAAACAGATATTTTCCACAAATGTTATTATTAAGTATTTCAAATTACACTACCTTAGAATAACTGGACAGCAAGAACAAAATTAAATATGTGAAAAACCCCTTATCAAACCTTATTTTTTTTAAAGAAAGTACAAAAACTACTTAGAAAATTATTTGAAACTTTTAAAGATATATAAATCAAATTTTTTCCATTAGTTGCCAAATATGATTCACTAAAAATTATGAAAAAAGCAACTTTAAATTTTTTTCTGCACTTGTGCAGTACAAGAAGCTACTACAAGCTACTTTTAATTCTAATATCTCGCGAATTTTTTTTAACAAATTTTAAAACAATAATTTTGTAATTAGTTTTAAATCCTCTTAAAATTTTAGTTAATTTTACTAAATCTTTTCAAAACTATAGCAACGATACCTAAGTTTAAAAAAAAGTTTTTTTTTGTTTGTTTTATGTTTATATTTTACTAAATATTTAAACTAGATTTACGAAATTTTATGCAGTTATTGCAAATAACAACCAAAGTTATAGATAGAAGTTATATGTTTATTGCAAAAAATTTTTCGATTTGAGTGTCCAACAATACTGGTTTTCTTTTACTATTTATTGTTGGTCCCTTAAACCCATGAAAGTTTTTACCTTTATTGTAAAGTACGAAAAATTGCATGAACTAAGCATTTTCAAAACTACTAAATGATCCTCTAAGTATTTCTATATTTCTAGAGAAATTCAAAAAAATATTAAAAACTGAATGTGTCTTTTCCATAATTGTAACTAGATAACAAAGAAAAAAAGTATAAAAATTTGACTTTTTATCATGCACATTATCCCGAAAAGTTGAGATAATAAATTTTTGTAGATACCAGTAGACATGTGCTGATGGGTTTTGTACTAATTTTCAACATAACAATAATTAATTCTAAGTTTGTATACTTAAAAAATATAAAATCTAAATTCTGTTAAGTTTAATTACTTTAAACCATTTGATTAATCTGTTAGACAATTGCTTTTATTTAAAACATAAACTTTTTATTTCAATATATGGGGGGAAACTATTGAGCTGTGCCACCATAGTTTACATTTATCTGCATAATATTTTAAACCATAATACAAAATAGGTTAAATAAGTGGATAAAAATACAGTAAATAATGAGTTATGTTAGAAAAATGAATTAATGACTGAACAACTAAGTTAGTACTAAAATTTAAATTCTGTTAGTACCAAAATAACTAATTCATTATGGAATTTGACTCACAAATACCTTATTAATTAAATATTTTGAGAAAGAAAAAGTAAATCTTTTTATAGAAAGAAGTTAGGAGTTTAAATAATAGTTATAAATTGCATCCTACTTAAAATAGGTAAAGTTATACTGAGAGAAATACTGATTTATTAAACTGGAGAAAAAAAAACATTTTTGTTGCTTTTATAAAAATACTTGCCTGTCTAAGGTGTGGGTATTTCAAATCTGAAATTAGTTTTACTTCTAAATCTACAGATTTTTTTTTAAAATGACATATTTTGTTTAGCTTTTGTCGAAACGCACAAGTTTAAAAACTTTATACATAATAGAGTATTGCGTAAATGTTATGACAAGCTTCTAAGGGAATTAGAGCTCATCATCAGGCATCTGCATAAGAATCCATCCCCATAATTGCCATCATACACAGCTTGGGGTACTTCTCTATTACGACCTGTTCAGAAAAACACAAAGAAACAGTTCATAATAGGGGAAGCGCCCCTAGCGGTGTATGATGACTTATCTAGCCACGAGTTCCCATGCAAATTTTATCCTGGTGATGTGCCCTAGTTTATCTAAAAGTTTCTCGGAACATTAACGTGACCTTCTGTTATATATAACGCTTTTAAACTTGTACATTTTGTCAAAAAAAGATTTAAAAATTTAATTTTTAAAAAAATCTGTAGTTTGGAGAGAGAAACCGCTTGAAGATTTGTAATCAGCGGGATGAAAGTATCTGATATCTGTTAAAAAATCTCATACAACAGAACAAAAAAACAACGAACAAAAAAAATTGTTCCCAGTGTATTTCTTTTTTAAGTGTGATCATAAAACGTTTATTTTCCTATATCAATGTAAATTTAATTCATAGAATAATTCTAAAATTTATTCAAACCCAGTTTTATTTTGGTTACCATATGTTTCGTTCAAGACATAAGGTACAATGTGTTTAACGTAAAATATATTTTAAATTAACGTTTTAGTATTTTCAACGTTTACTTTAGTATTTTACTTTATAAGCTTAAACTGGAAATATTTCTATGCATAAATTTATACCAAGTATCTTTTTATTTGTTTATTTTGAATCTGATGCATTATTTTTTTTTATTATTTTATCAAGTATTTGTTTTATTTTTCAGAGGAAAAGAAATACAGTAATTGTGGGCATCTGATTTTATTTTCAACCAAGAACTCAGGCAGTTAATCGTAAAACTGCTGATATTTTAAAATGTATTTTGATTGAAGACATTGTTATTATTAACTATACATTTTGATTTAAATATGAAACTGTTAAAATGTAAAATACTTAATATTTGATAAATTATACAATGAATTAATATATTTACTGCTATCAAATGCTTATATACTGCATAAATGCATGTACTAAATTTTTTGTATGAAATAAATTAATTGTTCTAATTGTTTCTTTTTTATTGAAAAAGTGTCTTTTAATCATTAATGGGGAAAAGTTGCTTAACTGTTTAATAATTTTAATTTTGCAATATTTCAAATTTGAAAATAATAAAAGATGCAATGCATCAAAGGAAAAGCAATGCAATAGATGATGCAATTGCAACATTTTCTGTCAATATGGAGATTATTTTTGCTGTTTTACTTCCTGAACATGTACCAACATCTGTAATAATAATTTAAAAAACAATGTTTTTTTAATTTAAAAAAAAAGATGTGAAATAAATANTGCTATATATATTGAATAAATTTAGTTTTCTCAGTTTTTATTATTATTTTTTATTTAAATTATTTGTTAAAATAGGGTTTTTATTTGATCTCCTGTTTAAAATCAAATACAGAGAAAAAAGTCTTTCAAATAATGAAATTTGATAAATAGAGGTTTATTAAATCAAAATTCAACTGTATAAAGAGAAAGGAAATTAAGTCTAACAAAATAAATTAAACATGATAAATAATTAATAAAGCATACAGAATAAATTTAAACAGAAATTCATTCTTTGATATGTTTGATAATTTAATTAACTGAATGATCACTTCAATATGAAATGCTCCAAACATGTATATTTAAATTAATTATATTCTTTGATCATCTTGGTAGTATTATTTATTTGATATACTTATGTGCAGTTTGATTAAAGATGATTACCTAGTTAAATTTAGATCAAGTTTCTTTTTCTTTGTTTCTACTAAGTTTAAATTAGTTTTTTATTTTCTGAAAAATTCAATTTCTCCTATTATGTTTGGTAAATTCACACCTGTGAGTCATAGCTATAAAGTCTCTCAAAACACTTGTTCTGCTTTTAAAAACTATCTTTTAAAACTATTTACCTAATTATAGCAGTAGTAAGCTAAAGTTGGTCATATTGTCGTTAAGCACTCTAAAAATTTTTTTGGTAATGATGTTATATCAATATTATTTTATTAGATTTAATATATGTTATCTTATAAATTTTTCAAGTTAACTCCTCATGATTATTAAGTTTTAAAAACAAGTTTCCAATTATTACGTTTTCTTTATAAAATATTTTTTGCCTTTGCACAACACTTAATTTGACCAAAATAAATTTTTCCAAAATTAAATTGAAATTAGATCAATAAACAAAAAACTTATTTTATAATTTTAAATAATTGATATTCTTTGTGATAACTAACATTGAACACAATTAAAAAAATATATTAGGGCAAAAACATTTAAGTGCAAATTTTGAAATATTTTATTGAATATTTTTCCTGGTTGCATGCCTTTGTTAATCTAAATACCTTTTTAAATTCATAAATATTTGATTATGAAAATAATCTTAAAATTGATTCTTCCTATACTCAATTTGGATACTTGGATAAAAAATGTCTTTCATCAGTAAAGGTTCAAAGGTTTCAAATCCACCCCTTCCCCCCAAAAAAAAATGGTTTTGAACAGAAATTATTAAAATTAATATATTTAAATAAAACAGTTTTGAAAATATTTCTCCAATTTTATTTACATCATCTTTTTTCAATCACTAGAAATCAATAACCAATTTATTAGAATTTGTTGAGGTCTTTTCCAGTGTTCAAATTTCTATGCTTCAAATCCGATCAAGGAGACGTGTCTTTCAAGTTAAATAGTTTCTGTAGCTAAGCAGTTAAAATTAATAAAATTGCTGTAAGCATATTGTAGTTGAATCGGCTTTACAGGAAAGAAAAACCTTAAAAAATGTTTTATAATTAGTCAGATAGCAATGAAAGTTGTAGTTTCAATATTTTTAATACATTTAAAACAAGATCTGGCAATTTGTTTATTTTCAAAATAACTGTAATTACTCAATTTTCAGAAATAAGTGAATTTAAACACATACCATTATAAATTGGTGATCGCAACACTTGAATACGCCATCTGGAGAGAGACTGGTTTCATGCCTTTGACCCTTCTTCTTTCCCTCTCCTCCTCTTTTCAGTTGTATAGGAATATACTATGATATTTTCCCTTTTCTTAATATTTCTCTTTTTTATTTAATAAAAATATTTTTTAAAATTTCCGTGATGCTTTTCTTCAGAACTATGTTTAATGTAGTTTTCAGTTCCATATAGTTTTCCAACTTAAAAGATTTTAATCTGTATGAAAATGAAGAGAGAAACTAAAGTACTTCCTTCCTCTATGACTCTCCACACGCTAATGGGGAAAGCATGCAAAGTGTTGCCATAGGTACAGAGTTCTGCTCTACGCCACCTGCAGCCCATTTTGATCGCCAATAAGTGAATTTAAACTCATAAATTTATAAATACTTAAAGAAAAGGATTTTATTAAGTAATAATAAACACAAAAAATCTGCTCTACAAATCTGCTACAAGTTCTGCTCTACGCCACCTGCAGCCCATTTTGATCGCCAATAAGTGAATTTAAACTCATAAATTTATAAATACTTAAAGAAAAGGATTTTATTAAGTAATAATAAATACAAAAAATTTTTCAATTTCAAGATATTGTCTAATTGATATTGATTTGGTAACGATCTAAAAAGTTAGAACTTCTTATTTTAAACATGAGTCTTTAAATTCTAACTGTAATGCTAATTCTAATTTACAAAAAAAAAAAAAACCTTTTGTATATTATTTAATGCAATATACTGATAGTTTGGTCATTGAGAATATGTTTAATAAATTCCTACATAGCGCTATTTTTTAATTCAAATATGAAAATCAACTTATCTATTTTTTTTCTCCATCCAAAACAGTTGAATAGTTAAAAGATAAAATACAAATAATTGTTGTTCTGACATTCCTAATAAAAAAAATTTGTCATTATATTCTTGATTTTTGTCTGTGTCCAGAATGACCAATTTTCTTTGAATATAAACGTGGATGATTGATTTGTGGAATTGAAAAATTTGTATTTTTGAGCCAACATCTTTTTCAAATACTTATGCTAGCAAAAAACCTCATAATTTGATAGTTCAAACTTAGGTACCATCCACTAATTACACACATGGTTCACTCTTATAACCTTTCCAAAAGAATTCATTATATCCAATTCTTTGGAAATTCAACTGCTTCTGGAAAAAGAAACTCAATTAACAATTTTGCATTATCAAATTTAATTGTGATGAATTGATGGGTTATTATTGTTGTTTACCACAAATATAGGAACAAATCAATTAGGATAGAGTTTGTAGTTTCACAATTATTTATTCTTTTCTGACTCGATTAAAAATGATAGACTTGAATAAACAATGCAACAATCGTATAGAATTTTGGATTGAAGAGCATCCTCTAAATCAGTGGTTCTTAACCTTTTTAAGTCGGAACCCAAATTTGAGAAATATGTTCATGTCGCGACCCAAAAAAAAGTCAAAATTAGGCTGAGTAAGCCACAATGACTTCTTCTAGGAGGTGTTGATATTACTCATTATGTGGTGCATTACTAACTTTTTTGGTTCAACTCAGCGCGACCCAAGAAATATGCTTTGCGACCCATAGGTTAAGAACCGCTGCTCTAAATTACTTTTGCACAAAATTGAGAAGCAGAATATTCAAGTGTTTTTGTTTCAGGATTAAAACCAAACTTTAAAATATGGTTGATTAAGGAAGTCTTGAACACTAATATAAATTTTAACTAATTATCAGTATGGGAGAATAATATAATTTTAAATCCACAGTACTATAAAAAATTATACTTGAAACTGTTAAAATTTTAGTTTTAATAATTCTGTTTCTGAAATTAAAAATGACTTTTGTTACTATCTTTTTGGCATTTGTTACTATTTTTTTTGAGATCTTACTTAAGTAGAGCAAATTATAATTCTTATAGTTTTTGTTTACACATTTTATTAGTTGTCTGGAGTTAAAAAATGTCCTGATATTTTTGTAAAATGTTGCTTTTAATTTTTCTTTAAGCCTTCCCTGCAAATAATGAAACATTTAAATATGATATATTCTATATTTTATATTCAATTATGTATAAAAATATATAATTTGCTATATATATTGAATAAAAATAAAGTTTTCATTACTCAACCATTATCAAAATTGTCTTTTATAAACTCATCAAATCTTTTTCAAGAAATGTTTTCAGCAGTATATCAGATGCTTGTCCAGGTGTTATAATCCCTTCTTGAACTTTTCTTTCCATATCTGAAACTAAAGCTTTAACATTCGGATGCTTCTTAAATGCTGCCAACAAATTATACTCAATATGAATCCACATCCACATATTATATTGTTCCTGTCGTTTCAGTTCAAAATCGCCAGATTCTTTCAAAGTATTTTCAAAACTAAGCATCTCTTTCCATAAATTTTCAATACCATCTTTGGTCCGTGATGAAACGCACAAAACAAGAGGTCTCCACACTGGATATCGTCGTCTAACAAATTTCAATGCGCTTAAATATTCAGTCTGAATTCTTCGAGCGCTGGGTAATAAATCACCATCAGCTTTATTAACTACAACCATATCTACTAGTTCAACAATACCCTTTTTAAGGCCTTGTAATTCATCACCCCCAGCAGGCGATACAATCATTGCAAACATATCAACCATGTAAGATACATGAAATTCAGACTGTCCAACACCTACAGTTTCGACTATTATCACATCATAACCAGCACATTCACACAAGGCAATTGCTTCATTTGTGCTTCTGGTAACGCCACCTAAGCATCCACTAGCTGGTGAGGGTCGTACGTAGGCATTTATATCTCTAGAAAGCTCTGGCATTCTAGTTTTGTCGCCAAGCAAGGATCCACCGGTAGTGGAAGATGATGGATCCACAGCTAACACGGCTACTTTGTGGCCTTGGGATGTCAGAAGTTTGCCAAGTGCTTCAATAAATGTTGATTTTCCAGCACCAGGAGGTCCTGTCAATCCAATTCGGAAACTAAGTCCCTTTTTTCCCAGTTTTTGATGCTTTAATTTGGCTTCCTTTAAAACCAAGCTCAATAAAAATTGAGCTTCAGCTTTTTTTTGAGGATGCTGAGTTTCAACTAGAGTTATAGAGCGTGCAAGAGAGCTCCGTTCACCTTTCTGTAAGCCTTCGAATAATGACAAAGCAAATTTATACTCATTTTCTGTTATACTGCTTTCAGTGGATTTAGTCTTTATAGTGGAAAAGGAAAAATACGAAGAGGTTTTTAAAAGGGGTAGTTTGCAACTCTTTTTTAAAGTTACTGCTTTTAGGAACGAAAAGCCTTTCGTTAGAGGTTGCATTATTTATTTTTTTTTTTGTTTTATAAATTTTCAATATCCATGGAAAATTAGGAAACTGGATTAAATTAAAATAGTGAAAAAAATATGCTTATAAGAAAATGTTAAACATAATAAACTTTTTTCCTAGGACATGAAAAATATAAATCGTTCATTACGAATCGGTAAAAGCAAGGAATTTTATCAAGTCAACAAGCAAAATGTAACGGTACAACGAGACGAGGAAATAATCAGATATTTTTGATTTAAGAAACATAAACAAAATTTTAAGAGACCAGACGACGTGATTATTTTTGCCAGATGCAGATTATTGAATATTATCTAAAAAAAGCCTTAACATCACTATACAGATAATAAATTATGAAATCAACCTACGGAAGTGTAATGTTTTATACCTGATTGGCTAGCTGATACCCAATCTGAAAGATTATTGGGTTTCATATAAACTGAACTATAATTTTTTAAAAAAAGTGAAAAGTCTTGTCGCCTTCTTCTTTATGAGTAAATCCGTAATTTTAAAACGATAACTTAATCGAAATCAATTTACTGTAATTACCCTTTTACCTGTTTGTTGCTTTGTCTCTGTGTTGTCATTATAATGATAGCCGTAGAGTTTTTCGTCAATTTGCGTGTTTTGTCTATAAATTTAACTTAAATAGCTGTGTTCGCCTTTTCCTAAGTGTCTATTTAAACTTTTTCATCTCATTTACTATTTAATTAATCATTATAAACATGGCTGCCACATTTGAAGATGTGCTTGTATCTTCTTTGTCAGAAGACATGCAAAAGACTGAAAAAATTCCGTTCCCCGTTACTCTTCATGTTGCTGATGAATTCGAAAATTTAAATTTAGTGTTTAAACCGAGTATGAAAGTTTCTTTATTATGATTATATAAAATAATTGTTTTTTTTTTTAATTGCACATATTTGGTACAGCTTTTGATTTCGTACAAATTTAACCCGATCTATTGTTTCGATGTATTCATATTATATTTATTTAATGTTTAAAATTACTTCCATTTTTGTGACTGACTAATTTTATAAACATTTGCTTTTCTTGCTTCGTTGTTAAGTTCAACACGTGCGTCATAGACCATTTTTCTAATTTTATCCGATTTTGTTTACTTTTAGTTAGTATTCCGAAATGTTTTGTCCATAAATATTCTTCTTCTATTTTAATGTAACAGAGCCAATTTTCCTTCAAATAATGTATTTCAATTACATTATAACCGAACCTAATTTGGACGATATGAATTAAAAAGTAAGATAGTGCTTCAAATGAGACAATACTTTATACTATTTGCTAATATTGTGTAATAAAAGATGTGTGAACTCTTTTGTTAAATAATAGAGTTAATATTGTGTTAAAAATCAGAAGCAGTGAAATAATTTCTTTGAAATCATATCTCATTGAAGTTTCTAGAATTTTGTGATGACAAGTGATAAAAAAGAATAAGTTTTCCAGAAATGAGCATCCTTCAATATGATTTATTGGCCGTACAGTGTGATTTATCGTGAGATGTAAAGTTAGTATGACAATTGCACAGATACTAATTTATTTACATAAAACTAAATTAATATTGCTTTTACGATTAAAAAGTGTTATAAATTTTTATTCTGTACTTCTGTAAATACAACGTTATTGCTACTTTAAATAAGTAATTGTTTTAATCCCCGAGGTGGAATCGTGGCAACATTGTCGCAGATGGTTACTGAGTTCTTGCAGAAAGATTTTACCTTAGGGAAGAAAAAAAATTTAGCTTTTCTTTTCTGCAGAAATTTTCGAAAGATTTTATCTTTTCTTCAGTATTATATTCAAAAGATGTCTCCCTTGCGCATCGGAGTTGGGGAAAAATGCTTATGATTTTTCATTTGAGAATGATGAAAAATAAAGAATAATGAAGTAAAAAATTTGGTTCTGTTTTCTGTAAAAATTTTCTTTCTATTTTTTTCATGCAGTTATTACTACTGATTTGCACATAACTTTTAAAATCAGGCATTTCCAATACAATATTATTAATACAATATTATTTATTACAACAACTGAATCTCGAAATGAAAACACGCATTTAGTAACCCCCGTTGAAGAGTCCAATTTGTGTGATTTCGCCGTCAATCTTTTCCCCCCGGTGGTTACTGTTACGGATTTCACGATCTTTTAAAAATTTTTTTAATGTGATGGTGAATTACAAAATGTGAGAAATGTGATAATGTTGCCCATAATATTTATTTATTTTTTGAAGTTAACGCTTCTGTTACTTTAATTAGTAACATGTATATTTATTTTTATATATCTTGCTAAAAGATATTAGTATTAGAGTGGTATGTCACAGAAAGCCCGAAAAAATTCTGCCACAGGGGTTATAATTAAAAGTATCTTAAAGCGAAATATATAAGTGCTAGGGAAGTTTGTCTCAGAAAGCCTAGAAAAGTTCTGCCACAGGGGTAATTCTTTTATATTATTATAAATTAACGTGTATTATTTTAACTGAATATTGTTATTGTTTTATATATGTATATATATATACACCTATAGGGGTCTGTCCAGGCCGAATTTACTACCATTTAGCGATACCTTCACAATTTCATTTTTAGGAAAAACGGTAGTTTCACAAATTCAACTTTAGGAAAAAGGGTAGTTTCACAAAATACTTTTTCTTAAGAGAAACAATAAATCCATATTTTTGTGTTGATTTCTTAATATAATTTTTAATTTTTTACAAATTATGTCTAAATTTTCACAAAATAGGTACCTCTCAGAAAAACCTAGACAGACCCCTGGCATATATATGTGTGTGTGTATTAATAATGTAAGATCTATTTTATATTATTGTTTTTAGATTTTTTAAAGAAAAAGAAATATGACGTATAAAATATTATATCTCCTCTTTCTAGCTGGAACCAATGGTCCCGATTCTCTCCTTGAAATAGTGTTTGATAAAGATACTGATGGAGCAAAATTAGGAAGCCATTGTTATGTAATAAGCAAAGAAGTCTCTACTGTCCATTTACAGTTTAGAAATGTTAATGGTAAAAGATATTTTAATTTTATTTGTTTGCATAGCTTTTTAGTTATTAGAATTGATAAGAATTGAATTTATGTTTATTGTTTTTTAATGTTATATTCTTAAGCTTGAGTAAAATTTGCCTTAATTATAACTTTGAAAATTTATGTTTTTATTGTTAATTTTTATAGTTAATTACAGTAGCCTTTTAACACTAACCTGTGTTAAAATTTTTACTTTAAAATTAATTTAGTTTCAGAAGCATAGCTGTGAAAAAAAGTTTCTCAGCATGAATATTTCCTTTACTAGGCACATTATTTTNAAAAATCTTTGCATCATGCCATACATTTTAGGCAATCAGCCAACTCATTCTCATGTTCTGCTGAAATATAAGAGAGTTCCGTCATGGTTTACTTTTGCTGGATTTTTTAACTTCATTAAGTGAGAGTGTAAAGTAAAGTAAGGTATGTCAACTCAACAGCTCTGGCAGCAGCTCTCACATTGAAATTTTCATTTTCAATCATTAAAAGAAATTCACTAATTTTGCTTTCTAGAAGCTTAGTATCCTTTTTAGGCTAATAATTTCTCACCATATTTATATAAACTTAAAAATTATTCTAACAATGTACACACATAAAATTAAGATAGAAGCAAGGTATGACAAACCAGAAATGGTGCAAATCAGAATACAGTCTTGTATACCATTAAAAACAAATTTTGTGATGACAGTTAAAATATATTTTATAGCTGTTCCACTTAATAAATATGAACTGTTATTTAAGAAAAGACAATTAGCTATTTTATATACTATTTATAAGAAGAAATGACAGTGATCAGGAATTACCCCATTGATCAATAATTACCCCATCTGTAGTGGGCAACATTTGATACAGTTTTCTATAATCAATTATAATGTTTATACTAGATGTGAAACAATTAAACAAAAGCTTACACTATTTTTATATCAAAGAAATATAAAGTAACTCAAAATATTTATTATTAAGAGAAGGAGGGGGATCTTTGCAGAAATGTGCACATTTTGAAACCCATCTTTGAAATTGAAAATACAGAAAGCAGTTTAAAAGATACTTATTTTGTTANCAAAAATACTATATCTATTATTAAGTAAATGTAGTTATACTTTAGTAAAGTGTACAAGCATTCTTGTCCATGCCTCAAATTTAAAAAAAATTTATTTTTTTAAATATAACTTAGGTGATCATTATTTACCCCAGAAACAGAGTGATCATGAATTATCCCGGGTCACCCTACTTTATACTATTTGCTAATATTGTGTAATAAAAAATGTGTAAACTCTTTCATTAAATAATAAAGTTAATATCGTATTAAAAATCTAAAGAAGTGAAATGATATCTTTGAATTCATTACTTATTGAAGTTTCTGGAATTTTGTAATGACAAGTGATAAAAAGGAATATTGTTTTCCAGAATTGAATGGGAAACATTTAATTTTTAAAAAATCATTAAATTTAATTTATTGGCCTTACAGTGTGATTTATTGCGAGATGTTAAGTTAGTGTAACAATTGCACAGACAAATTTATTTACATAAAAATAAATTACCTAAATCTATTGTATAATCAGCAGTATTATCTGGATTTAACCATCATGTTATAAAAACCTTTTTAACTTAGTTTTTTAATTATTCTTGAAAGCTTTAATTTAGGTGTAAAAATACAATTATTATAAATATCAAGTTATTATAAATATGAAGCAATTTTAGGTAAAAATATTTATAAAATAATGTACAGCTATGTTTATTTTGTCATGAAAATCGAGAATTTTGTCATCTTATAAAAAGTTTATTCCAATATTTGTGCTAAATATTGATAGCTTAATTACACTTATAAATTGAATGACTAAAAGAACTCATTATTGTTGCTTTGTTTATTTCAGTGTAGACAATTATTCAGTGTAGTAGCAGTGTTTGTTTATTCAGTGTAGACATTTCAGTTTCAAAGATTCATTAAAGCAATCATTTATATTTTCCTAAATTTGAATTACTTTATTCATCAGTGAATATATTATATTCATGATTTATAGATAACAGGGGTCTGTCCAGACATTTTGTGAAAGAACCTGTTTTTGTAAAATTGTGAAAAAACAATTCATAATTTGTGAATATAAAATAAGCATTAAGTCACATTCTTTCAACCAGGGTCCTGCTTTTGTGAATTTGTGCAAATAGGGTCCTGTTATTTGGTATTTAGCCTACACTGTTCAACATAGAATATTCATTTCAGACAAATAATGGAAACAAAATCACTCACATTTTTAATAATTTCAAATGACTTATTTTAAATAGCACAACTTAGTAAGCTATCATTTCGAATACACATTAAGTAAACTTCTTCAAATTCTTAAATTTATAATATTTTATAATAAAAATTGTCAGAAATTAATTTTTTTTTACATAATATTTTAATAATTAATTTATGAATAAATATAAATTGATCAATTATTTATTTACAAACAAAATTATGATTTAATATTATTAAGAAAGTGCACACGATGTTTGTAAAAGTAAAAATATTTTCTTAAAATACAACATTTGGAATATAAACTTAGGGAAACTTAGTTTGTCTTGAACCATCTTTCTCCCCCCGCCCCCCGGGAAGGGTTTTTCTGATTAACAAAACGATAATGAAGATAAACAGATTTGTGAAGGGTCCAATTAAAAGATAAATCATTTTGTGAAGGATCTGTTTTTAAGCTGAAATATTTTGTGAAGGGTCCGTTAACGGACACAGATTTCTTCTAAACAGACCTCTGGGTAATATTCATGTACACATGAGTAATGACTAATATTGAGAATAAAAAAATTCTCAAGGTGAGATCAGACAATTATTGAAGACCATTTTAATTTGACTTTATTTAAAAAATCTGCCTAAGTTGTGACATGAAAGAATTAAAATCCATGTTTAGATTCATAACAACTCATTACCTGTAATTTGAACCAAATAGTTATTGTAGCAAATAATATTGATATTAATGGTATCATGATTTTAGAAAACCAGTTAATAGTTGTAATGACTTTGCCTATATTTTTTACAGATGATATATATGTTGTAATTATAATGTGAACATTTTGCATGATTTAACTTCTAATAAAGTGTTATCTGTTTTTGGCAACTCTTGTCAGATTTCGGCAGTTTTTGACACTTCTATAGTTTTTTTATGTATCATATGTCAAACCAGTTTTTGATGTCGAAAACCCAACCTAGTTTTTTGGACTATCTATTAAATAAAAATATGTGAAATCTTTTTTTTTTAATGCTCTCGATGAACTGAAAATAATTTTGAAATGTCAAAAGTTCGTAGTCCCCCCCGTGGCAAAATTGTGACCGCACGGCGACAATATCGCATACCGTTACTGAGTTTTTGCAAAACGATTTTTCATTTGGGAAGGGAAAAGTTTTTGTTTTCCTTTCTGCATAATTTTTGAAAAAAGATTTTCCTGCAGAATTTTTTTCTAAGATGTTTCTCTTGCGCATTGGAGAGGAAAGAAATAATCTATTATTTTTCTATTCTCATTTAAGATTTTTGAAGAACATCTGTATTGACTAACTTCAGCAGCTAGAATTTCAAATTTATAATATAAAATAAAAAAATTCAGAAATCGTGAAAGTTTAAAAGTGTTTGCTCTAGAAATGATGTTCTTTCTTTCATTTTTTCCCATATTTTACATAAACTTAGTTGAGTATCTCTTTTTCTTAAAGTATCCTACTCTCGTGATCATTATTTTGCGAATTACTACATGGATTTTACTATTTTAAATTTATGTATGAATTTTAATTTATTATCGTTTAATTAATTTAAGAATTTTAATTTTGTGTAATGATTTACAAAATTCGAAAGAGGAAATAATTAATGCGTTTTTCAACCTACAAAATGTAAGAATATCACCTATAATATATTAGAATTAAAAAAATATTGCTTATACGATTAAAAATTATTATACATTTTTATTCGATACTTTCTTCTGTAAATACAACGTTATTGTTATTTTAAATGAGTAATTGTTTTAATCCCCTTGGCAAAATCGTGGCAACATTGTCGCAGATGGTTACTGAGTTCTTGCAGAAAGATTTTACCTTAGGGAAGAAAAAATTTAGCTTTTCTTTTCAGAAGAAATTTTCGAAAGATTTTATCTTTTCTTTAGAATTATATTCAAAAGATGTCTTTATTGCGCTTGCGCATCGGAGTGGGAAAAAAATGCTTATGATTTTTCTATTTTCAATTGAGAATGATGAAAAATAAAGAATAATGAAGTAAAAAATTTGGTTTTGTTTTCTGTAGAAATTTTCTTTCTATTTTTTCATGCAGTTATTACTGCTGATTTGCACACAGCTTTTAAAACCTGACATTTCCAATGCAATATTATTAATACAATATTATTTATTACCACAACTGAATCTTGAAATGAAAACACACATTTAGTAACCTCTATTGAAGAGTCCAATTTGTATGATTTCGCTGTCAATCTTTTTTTCTTTTTTTTCCCCGGCAGTTACTGCTACGGAATTCACTATTTTTTTAAAAAAAATTTAATGTGATGAAGAATTACAAAATGTGCGAAATGTTATAATGACACCCATAATATTAGAATTATAAAAAAATTAAATATTCAATTTAAAAAATTATTTTATTTGATCTGATTTATTTATTTTTTGAAGTTAACGTTTCTCATATTTTAAATTAGTAACATGTATATTTATTTTTAAATATCTTGCAGAAAGATATTAGTATTGGATGATATGTCACAGAAAGCCCGAAAAAATTCTGCCACAGGGGTTATAATTAAAAGTATCTTAAAGCGAAATATATATGTGCTAGGGAAGTTTGTTTCAGAAAGCCTAGAAAAGTTCTGCCACAGGGGTAGTTCTTTTATATTATAAATTTATATGTATTATTTTAATTGAATAATGTTATTGTTTTATTTATATATGTACAGGGGTCTGTTTAGAAGAAATTTGGGTCCGTTAACGGACCCTTCACAAAATATCTTTTCATAAAAACGAACCCCTCACAAAATATTTTAACTTAAAAACGGACCCTTCACAAAATAATTTATCTTTTAATCGGACCCTTCACAAATTTGTTTATCTTCATTATTGTTTTGTTAATCGAATAAACCCTTCCCAGGAAGGGAGGGGGGGAAGAAAGACATGTAAACAAACTAAATTTTGTCTTATGCAGACGCTTCTTCCTTTATTTGTCCGAAATTAATATTCTGCCTTCAGCAGTATAGGCTAAATACCAAATATTTATATGTTACATCGCTAATTTAGTAGCTGCAGCTGCTGTTTATTTTTTAAAATGCAATTTTCTTAATTATAATTTTACAGTGTTGAGCATGATCTTGTATGTCTTTACAATTTAAAAACTCCTTGAAAAAGTTTTTTTGCAATAACGGACCCTGTTTGCACAAATTCACAAAAGCGAACCCTGGTTGAAAGAATGTGACTTAACATTTATTTTATATTCGCAAATTACGAGTAATTTTTTCACAATTTTTCAAAAATGGACCTTTCACAAAATGTCTGGACATACTCCTGATATATATATATATATACAGACATACAGGGGTCTGTCCAGGCCGAATTTACTACCGTTTAGCGATACCTTCACAATTTCATTCCAGCGGTAGTTTCACAAATTCAACTTTAGGAAAAAGGGTAGTTTCACAAAATACTTTTTCTTAAGAGAAACGATAAATCCATATTTTTGTGTTGATTTTTTAATTTTTCAGAAATTATGTCTAAATTTTCACAAAATAGGTACCTCTCAGAAAAACATAGATAGACCCCTGATATATATGTGTGTGTAAATTAATAATGTAAGATCTATTTTATGTAATTGTTTTTAGATTTTTTAAAGAAAAAGAAATATAAGATATAAAATATTGAATCTCTTTCTAGCTGGTACCAATGGTCCAGATTCTCTCCTTGAAATAGTGTTTGATAAAGATACTGATGGAGCAAAATTAGGAAGCCATTGTTATGTAATAAGCAAAGAAGTCTCTACTGTCCATTTACAGTTTAGAAATGTTAATGGTAAAAGATATTTTAATTTTATTTGTCCGCATAGCTTTTTAGTTATTAGAATTGATAAGAATTTATGTTTATTGTTTTTTAATGTTATAGTCTTAAGAATGAGTAAAATTTGCCTTAATTATAACTTTGAAAATTTATGTTTTATTGTTAATTTTTATAGTTAATTACAGTAGCCTTTTAACACTAACCTGTGTTAAAATTTTTACTTTAAAATTTATTTAGTTTCTGAAACATAGCTGTGAAAAAAAGTTTCTCAGCATGAATATTTCCTTTATTAGGTACATTAGTTTTTATTTTTTAAAAAATTATCTAACCTTGATGTCACAAACTTCAGGAACTTAATTTTTTTGATAGTATGAAATTTAAAAAAAAAAACCTGTTAACCGATTGATTTTAACTTTTATTTCTCCCTGGCCTATCGATTTATTTCTTATTCTCATTATTTCGCCATGTGTGCTTATTTCTTTGTTTAACAAATTATTTTTTTCTCTCTAATTTCTAAAGTATTTAAAATACTTATGCACCAATTTCTTCGATTTAAAGCTGTAAAAAGAAATTTCCATATTTGAAAAGAAGTTCGAATTATCTACCGTATAGTCTGACCAGTAACACTCTATGGTATTTTTGAAATTGACTTAAAACTTCGACAGCTCAAAGCATTCTAAAAGCAAAAAATATTTCAAATTATTAAGCATTTTGACTTATTGAAATTTTATTCTGAATATTAGTGATAATGTTATTTTTTAATTAATGTTGCAGATCTGTCAAGGTTTAAAACAATTATTGATGGATTTCGTAATGGCAGAAATTCTATGTTTTCTATCCGTACTGATGATTCTTCAGCTACTCAGTATTTTCAGGTAGGTTTGAATGCATGATCTTATCAATTTTTAAGAAAATATTTTCCAAGCATGTAAGCTGTCTACTCCCCCCCCCCCCCAAANCCCCCCCAAAATAGTTGATATCTGAGAAAATTTAAAAATAAATATTGCTGTTTCAACGTAATTAGCTTTTATTCTCTATTAATAACTTTATTACCTTTGTATATTTATTAAAATACAATATTAAAGTTGAGTTAGGTATCTGAAACATAAACCAGGAGTCTGTCCAGACATTTTGTGAAAGATCCGTTTTTGTAAAATTGTGAAAAAATGAGTCGTAATTTGTGAATATAAAATAAACGTTAAGTCTCATTCTTTCAACCAGGGTGCGCTTTTGCGAATTTGTGTAAATAGGGTCCGTTGTTGCAAAAAAAACTTTTTCAAGGAGTTTTTAAATTGTAAAGACATACAAGATTATGCTCAACACTGTAAAATTATAATTAAAAAAATTAAATTTTGAAAAATAAACAGCAATTGCAGCTACTAAATTAGCAATGCAACAATGCTAATATTTGGTATTTAGCCTATACTGCTGAATGCAGAATATTCATTTCGGACGAATAAAGGAAGAGGCGTCTGCCGAAAACAAAATTTAGTTCGTTTACATCTGTTTTTCTCCCCCCCCTTCCTGGGAAGGGTTTATTCGATTTACAAAACAATGATGAAGATAAACAAATCTGTGAAGGGTCTGATTAAAAGATAAATTATTTTGTGAAGGGTCCATTTTTAAGTTAAAATATTTTGTGAAGGGTCTGTTTTTATGAAAAGATATTTTGTGAAGGGTCCGTTAACGGACCAAAATTTCTTCTAAACAGACCCCTGTAAACTCTTACAAATTTATAGTACTAGTGTACATGTATTTGTACATTTATAGTACTAGTGTACATCATAGTACAAACATGATATTTGCTTTATTTTACAAGCATACAATTCTGCTGTAGTTAAAAAAGTAACATGAATGCTACTTTTTTTGAGAAGCCTTTAAGTTTTTTTATTTTTTTTTAATTGTATGACAGTATTGATGTTGTGTTATCTAATTTAGTCAACATTGAGTGTCTTATAATTGGATTTTTCTTATAGACTATGTATATAAATATATATTTGTAATTGTTGGAGTATTTTCTTCTAACCATGGAAGTTGAAAATTGCAGCTAAAATATTTTCTCTGAATAAAAATTGAAGTTTAGAATTTACTAAATGCAAAAGATGATACAAAAGTATAGTTAATTTATTGGTGTTTTAATAATTAATCGACGCTTGCTCATTAGCTAAAAGAAGTTTTTGGATGCATGATAAGAATTTCATTTGTTTTTTTTTACTACTCTCAAACAATCAAAAAAAGTATATGAAAATCTGTTTTGGTACAGTTATTGAGCAAAAACAATTTCAAAATTATCTATTAATAAATAAATATTTACAGTGCCCTCTCACTTATGCACCACCTCTTTTATGCACCTTTTTCATTTATACGACGATTTTTACAGGTCCCAGTACATAAGGTATGAAAATAATGGTAAACGTCCTTCATTTATGCGTCGCTCTAAAAATAAATTTTTCAATAATGCGCCGAAATTCTAGGCTAGCATTTTAATTTTTTTATCCTTTAAATATTTTTTTCTTTTTCTAAAATAAAATGTTTTAAATCGAAAATGAGGCTAATAAGCAATCCTTGTTACAGATAAAAAGAAATATATGTTGTTATATCCCATTGAATTTTCTTCCCCCTGTGACCTTTTCATTATTGCTGTTTCTGGAAAGACATTCTTTCTAGAATTTTAAATAGTGTGTCTTATCTGTTGCACCAGCAACAATGAAAGCCCATTCATCTTCAAGAAAATGACTATTCCTCTTGTCCAGAGGTTAGTTTTACACCCATGCTGTTTTCTAGAATAAGAAGACACCTGGAATACGAAAGATGAAAGAGACCGCAATCACTTACTTGCAGTCAGATGGACATCATTAGTAAATAAGAGGCGGTTCAACTTATTGTGAAGCATATTATGACGTTTAGTACTTTTCTTAAAATTTATCATGTGATGTTTCACCCCCTCCCATAAAACTCAAATTTTTTGATGATACTGACGAGGATGATAAAGTTCCTCCAAATCACACAGCAATATTAGAAGCTTGAGACACTATTCGTGACTATTTACAATTTAATTTTGCTTCTGAAACTCCTCCTTATCACATTTATATGAACTGAAAAAAAAAACTGTTTTTTAAATACGTCGTCAAAAACAAATGCAAACATGTATTAAGATTATTTTGTAAGAAAATAATTTGTCTTAAGCTATGATAAATTTTTTATTTGTATAGTTATAGTAAATACCAAAACAGTAGGGTGACCTGGGGTAATTCCTGATCAAAAAATGTGAACATCTATTTTGTAAGAAAACTATTCAAGATAGAATTATAATATTTACTGGAAGTTTGAGGCTATATGAGATGAGTCCTAGGCTACCTTGTTTTGTTTGAAAATCTAATTAGAATTTAAAATATTTTAAATTTTTAGTGATCAGGAATTACCTCTTCTCTTGTTCCTTTCTGGGGTAATTCCTGATCACTTCTGGGGTAATTACTGATCACCAGTTTTTATCACAAAGGAGCTGTTTAAAAATAATTATACAGTGGTAATTAACAAATAAGACATCAAGATCAAACAAATAAACCAAAAATATATGTTTAAGCAGCTAATAAAACAATTTATTTAAAAAGCAGAAATAAAGGCTAATAATTTAAATTTTCCAAAAATCTTTTAATCGTGCCATACATTTTAGGCAAGCAGCCAACTCATTTTCATGTTCTGCTGGAATATAAGAAAGAGTTCCCACATGGGGTACTTTTGCTGTATTTTGTAACTTCATTAAGGGAGAGTGTAAAGTTAAGAAAGGTATGTCAACAGCTCTGGCAGCAGCACTCACACTGAAATTTTCATTTTCAATCATTAAAAGAAATTTACTAATTAAGAAATTTTAATTACTAGAACTAATTTTGCTTTCTAGAAGCTGAGTATCCTTTTTAGGCTTATAATTTCTCACCATATTTATATTAGGTTAATTTATTAACTTAAAAATTATTCTAACAATGTACACATATAAAATTAAGATAGAAGCAAGGTAAGACAAATCCGAACACATTTGTCTAGCATACGGTTAAAAACAAATTTTTTGATTAAATTGAGCTAAAATATATTTTATAGTCGTTCCACTTGATAAATATGAACTATTACTTAAGAAAAGACAATTAGCTATTTATTAGCTTATTTTAATACTATTTATGAAAAGAAATGACAATGATCAGGAATTACCCCAGTGATCAATAATTACCTACCCCATCTGTCGGGGGCAACATTTGATATAGTTTCCTATAATCAATTATAATGTTTACAGTAGATGTGAAACAATTAAACAAGAGCTTACTTTCTTTTTCTTTGATATGAAAAAAGTGTATCTCAAAATATTTATTATTAAGAGAAGGAGGGAGATCTTTGCAGAAATTTGCACTTTTTGAAACCCATCTTTGAAATGGAAAATACAGAAAGCAGTTTAAAAGATACTTATTTTGTTAGATTAAACAAAAAACTATTATTAAGTAAATGTAGTTATACCTTAGTAAAGTGTACAAGCTTTCTTGTCCATGTTTCAAATTTAGAAAAAAAATTTTTTTTTAAATAAAACTTAGGTGATCATTATTTACCCCAGAAATAGAGTGATCGTGAATTACCCCTGGTCACCCTATAAATATTAACATTTTATCTTTAGAAACAAATTTATTCATATTGTCACTGCAATTTACGTTGCGTTATAGAATTTTGAAGTTTTTCACTTATGCGCTTTTTTTTCTTGGCCCGTTACACCGGTGCATAAGACATAAGTGAGAGTTCACTTTATGTGGGGTTATTAATCAATCTATTTTATTTAGACTTGACATATTTTAGCTTTATTTTTAGAAACATTTTTCTTGTCTAATATATTAATGTCTCTCACTCCATGGATTCAAAAAATCTTCTCTGGTTTATAGTTAAGTCTTCAGATTATTATCTAAAATTTATCTTTATTAGAAAGTGTTGCTTAGAATGTCTTCTATATCTTTTTTTTTTATTTTCTACAGTTTTATGGATACCTTTCACAGCAACAAAATATGATGCAAGATTACATTAGAACATCAACTTATCAACGAGCTATTTTAGCAAATATTGACGATTTCAAAGATAAAGTAAGTATATTTAACTTATCATTTCCTAAACATTAATCATGTATTTTCAAGACAAAAAGAGTACTTTTCCGGAGTGAGATTATTGCTGTCTCCTGTGCAACTCTGCTGCATTTTGCGAGATATTCTCAATTTCGGACTTCATTTTCCTCTCTCTGCTGTTGAACCGAAAAATCTCTCGATCATTTTATAATGGCTAATATAATCAAGAAAAGAGTTCTTTGTCAGGAACTAGTTATTTTCTCATGATCATCTAAAGTATTTGAAAATTATTTTGCATTTTGTTAATGTATATAGTGCATAAAAATATTTTTTGAGTTCTTAAAAGGTGCATATTTTTTGTTGAAAGATTTGGCTATGCACCCTGTAAAATTTAAAGTTTGTAACTTACACAGAATCTCATTATAAAGACTCTTATTCTATCCGTATCAGCATCCTCTCTTTTTTTTCTTCATAAGTTCTCATTCATGCAATTTAAAATCTTACCCCCCCCCCCC